CACCGGCATTCCCCCGGAGGAGCTGGAGGAAGTGTCTGGAGAGAGGGAGGTCTGGGCATCTTTGCTTAGACTGCTGCCCCCGCGACCCAGCCCCGGATAAGCGGAAGAAAATGGATGGATGGATGGGTTTCATATTTCTTTGCAAAATGCTACATATGAACTCTATGTACTATTTCGCCTACACATGTACAGATTTTTAAAGTGCTAAATATAGTTGAGTTGTTGTGAATATGCATGTGTAATGACTTATTAACAACTTGTATAACTAGTGTCGTGCAGTGTTGGTCTCTGACCGGTGTAGGTTAATGGTACTATCTAATAACAATATACTGAGATAAAATAGTGTTGAAACTCTTCATGTTTTGGTGAGAACATAACAGGTGTCTGGTTTTGTGTTTACAGCTGTGGGAAAATGACAAATTATTTTAGGAAATAATTGTGGAAGCACTTGTGAAATACTGTACGTATGATGCATTAGGTAATCTGTGACTTTTCTCCTATTGCTTTACTGTCACTTCTCTTTTAACCTTAAGTTGATCCTGACATTTTTTCACAACAGGAACAATTAAATTACATAAATAGTGCAGACAAACTAACAACTATGTAATTCTGATTTGTTTGGCACATGATACAGCCCTGAAGTGTTGAACACATTTGTTCTAAAACAGTAAGAGGGAAACAAACTGCATACACGTCTCAACAAGTACTTCTTATGTGCCAGGCGATGACCAAAGCTTGTTTCTACTACCTGTCTTTATACTTGATGACCGCGTCCACTATCTTCTTCATCTTCTTTGTGAGGGCAGGGGGGTTGGGGGAGAGTTTCTCAGCAGGTGGTCGGCCCCTCTTTCTCTGCCGCTTGCCATCATCATCTTTGTCCCCTCTTCCTCGCCCCCCCGAAGAGGAGGAGGGACCCGGGAGATCCAGGTCACGGTCCCTCTTCCTCTTGCGCGTCGTCTTTTTGTGACGTACCTCTTCCTCCATCTCCTCCAGGGTGCCCTCCTCTATTGCCTGCGTGGCGTAATCATAAATGCAAGAATAAACACTTTACTCCAGAAAGCAAAAACATTTTTGCCACTAGTTTCATTTCAGTTTCTAATGTGGCTTCTGTTTGTCAGTTCCGCCCTTTGACCATGAGGCTAATTACCTTGAGCCACTGCTTCTCAGTCAGGGAGTCGCTGTAGTCTACCTCCTTCCTCTGCCGAGAACCTCGCCCAAACATTTTCTCCTCCTCTTCTTCACAGGTCAGCTGCTCAACCTCCGCATCATCCTTCATGATCCAAGTGGGCAGCTCATCCTCCTCCATCAGACGAGGTTTTCGTCGTGGGTTACGGGCCTCTTCACGGCGTCGGTCCAGATCCATACGCTGGGGGAGGGAGGGGGAAAAAGAGACAAGAAACAAAAAAGTATGGAGAGAATTTTGGTTGACTCAGGGCTATGAGCAAAGACTTGGCTATAATTTGGCTTCAGAACACAAACACGTACCATGAACTGCTCAAACTCTTCCTCACTTCTGGCAATCATCTGGTTGACCGTCTCATCATCTGGCACCTCATCCTCCTCCTGAATACAGCAGACACACATTGGCAAGCAGAGCATAAGAAAGCACACTCTTTAAAATTGTGTGTTGCTGGTGCACGCACACACATTCATGCGTAGGCACACTTCTTGATCCCAGACCTCATCTTGCTCCTCGTGCTCCAGGATGGCCTGCAAGAAGGCCCTGCGCTCGTGGCTGGAAGACTTCTGATCGAACATGCCGGCCTGGATGACCTTTTGGTCCACGTTCAGTTTGTACTTGGCGGCAGCCAGGATTTTCTCCTCCACACTGTTGACTGTACAGAGCCGCAGTACACGCACCTCATTCTGTTGACCTATACGGTGGGCTCTGTCTTGAGCCTGTAGGTCCTGGAAATGTGATCAGGAAAAGGAGAATTAAAATGGGTTCTCATCTGTAGCGGAGCGCATGGGAGGGCCGAAGGGGGCAGCCACCCTGGGCAGTAGTGGTCTAGAGAAGCAAGCTCGTGACAGTCCCCATACCAGCAGGATTAAATGGGCCAGGTGACAAAGCAGCGCTTGCCCCCTTGAGCAAGGCACTCAACTCCAAACTGCTCCAGTGGAGCTGCCCAATGGCCACAGGGCAGTCTGTGGTTGTACTGGGCAGCTAATCAGATGTGAATGTGCAACTGTGTGAATGATGATTGGTGCATTTCTGAAAAAGAGAGGTGGCCTCTCAGTGGACCCACCCTGAATAAACCAAGGGAATTAAGAAAACATTGTAGAGTATGTAAAATGATTTCACTTCTTAATCACATAGAAAAAAAATCTGTCCAATATGTTCAAGATGTACTCATCAAGTGCCATTAAAATAAAGGGTATGATCAAAAACACTTAAAATTTCTATGAACTGTAGTGAGATTTCAGCTTCACTGTTAGAAAGCTCCAATAAATTAGATTTCAGTCACATCTAGAGCAGCATGTCGACAAAGGACTGGCCGAGCAGTCTTCAGAGGGCTGATCCTGATCCATCACCCCACTATCACCTGCTAGCTGGGTATATTCTTCCCTTTACTAGCAAAACTCCACATTTACAGTATTGTGTATTTCAGATTGTACATATCTTTTAAATGCAATGCAAGAAATCACTTTGGTGACTTCAGTGCTGCTTGAAACCCTGCAGGGGTTAATTTGCTACTGCACTTTCACATCCACGCTGTGAAAGTCAGATGCCTTTTCCCTTTGACAAGTATCTTTCATACTCACAGACTACCTTCATCTGTCAGAAGGGGCAAATGCTGCCTGAGAAACACCCAAACATTTCTGCTTTTGTTGACAGTGTAAAACGCTGTGCTAAATTTAAAAGCAACTACAAGTTGACATCAACTTGATTTACATAAATGGTGTCTTCTGTACATTACAGTACACATGTATTACACCTGGTGTGGATTCCAGTCAGAGTCAAAGATGACCACGGTGTCGGCAGACTGCAGGTTGAGACCGAGGCCTCCGGCTCTTGTGCTCAGAAGGAAGATAAAGTACTCTGACTCTGGGTCATTGAACGTCTTTAGCAACATTCCTCTGTCTTCAGACTTTGTGGTGCCTGAGATGTAAGGGAGGTGGGAAAAGAGCAGAAAAACAGGTGAAGGAAATAATTTAAGGTTGAGATAAAGCTGTCAACCAGAAGAGAAACAAATTAAAATGGTATTAATGAGACTGCAGGGAAAAGAATGAATGAAGTATGACAAGTAACCATCTCACCATCCAACCGCAGGTACTTGAAGTTGCGGTAGGCAAAGTAGTCCTCCATTATGGTCATGAGCGAGGTCATCTGACAGAAGAGCAGCACTTTGTGGTTTGTAGCTCTCAGCTTGGGCAGAATTCGATCCAACACCTCAAACTTTCCTGATGCCCGATACAGATCAGGACTGACAGAAAGGTGGGTAGGAAGGGTCACAAGCTGTGTGAGAGTTGGAGTCTATCTTGACCTAATGAGGAATTAGCACTTACCCCTGGACTATCCCACCAGAGAACCCTAAATGTTCAGAGAAGGATTCCTGCAAAAACAGTCAAAATCACACACAAACAATCAAACACCTGCGGAGTTATGTTCAAGCTCATATTGCCTACAGTATCACCGCAAAGTCCACCTAGTGAGAGGTTTCTTATTATTCAATGCCCTTCATGATAAAACCTTTACATTATTCTGAAAGGCACTGTTCAAAATGTGTCAAATACAGCAAAAGAAATAACTGAAATGAGTTTGCATAACACTCCTCAGAGGTACCTCTATCTGCTGGAACATGTAGGGGTGGTTACAGATCTTTCTCAGCTGCATGATGGTGTTCATCAGTGTCTTCGTGCCACCTTTACCCTGGTAAACACAACAAAACAAAACATGCAGCTTTTGTTTGTTTTGTTTTGTTTTTCCAGTCAACTGACCTATGAAACACTGTCAAGGACACTTATCCACTCTACCTCTCTTAAAACAAACATCAATATAGCTAATGATATGCAAGTGCAATTTACCTACCCCCGAGGTGGAAAACAAAAGTTCAGTATTGAAAGGCTGGTGATTTATTTTCAGGCTCTTCTGCATTTGAGGTCATCTACATAGAGCAACAGCTTTTTTTTGTTGTTTTTTTTGCTGTTGTCAGGTTCTAATGATGTACAGTGTCACATTGTTTACGCCCTCACCTTCTTGTCCTTCTCTGAGCCATCCGTCAGCAGGACCCCCTTGGCCTGCATGTGTCTGTACAGCACCCTCTGAAGAGACGACATGTCGCATTTGATCACATACTCAACCTGAAAGAGAGACGAGACAGGATTCATGAAAGAAGTAGACACAGAGAGCAAGGGATATAACAGGCCAGTCAAGGACACAACACATCTCTCAGTTTTGCAAATATTACAGTGCGAAGAATGCTGGACACCAGAGGATTTGCTTCTCGTGTATCAGTAAATCATCTTAACTAATCTGTCTATGTTAGTTTATTCGCTGTATGCGATGAAAGAGGCGACATATGCCTTTTCTGGAAGCTGGGCCTCCACTTCCTTCTTTAATCTTCGTAACAGGAAGGGACGGAGCACTTTGTGAAGACGGCGGATTATCAAGATGGTCTCCTCTTCATTCAGGTCCACCTGGGGAGAAGAAGAAAGAGGAAGCTGTTATCTTCCATTAAGAACTGTACCTCCTGCCTGCTGCTTCTATCAAACACAAAAAAACAGACTGCACTGCTGAACAGTGAGACCTCCACACCTTCTCTCCAGTCATGGCGAAAGGAGCGTTGAACCACTGCTCAAATGTGCTGCAGCTCTTGAAGATGGTGGGCAGGAGGAAGTTGAGCAGCGCCCAGAGCTCAGGCAGTTTGTTCTGCAGCGGCGTCCCTGTCAGCAGGACTCGCCGTGGGGCCAGGTAGTGGGTGTTCAGGACCTGGGTCAGTTTACAGTGGTGGTTCTTCATACGGTGGCCCTCATCCACAATCATGTATTTCCAACGGATCTGGTGAGGATGATATAAGGAGAGGAGAGGAGAACATCTGGACAAAGCTAGTACTCTATTGCCGTACTGCTTGTGCCCGTCCAAACAAAGCAAAAACAGAAAGTCCTCAAAAGGAGGATTTCTTGCCCAGTCTGTCCTCATGCCCTGAGCCACTGTAGCCCCACATGGGAAACTCTTGCCTGAGCTGCAATACCCACCTGGCAGCACAGTCAGGAAGCCTACATGACTACATGAGTGCACAGCAGCATGACGGCCACAAAGGACAGTGGGAGACGTGGTTTACAGGCAGTGTCAGTATGTGGCAGCACCTAGGAGAGAGCACTGAGTTGCAGCACAGGGGGATGTAAGATCAGCTGGGAAGAAACGATTTTAGATGACTTTAGGGGTTCAGGGAGTGGGAGTCAATAAACACTTGAAAAACTCGAGCAAGATCAGATAATTGTCAAATAAAAACAACTTCTTGTTGCAGGCATGTGAACATGTGTAAAGGAAAAGAATGGTATGTTTGTGTTCTTCTGCTTGTGTTCGTCTATACACCACATCTCACCTTGGCCAATACTTGTTTATCCTTGATGATGTACTCGTAGGTGGTAATTAAAACGTTAAACTTCCCACTGCGCAGTTGGGGAACAAACGCTCTTCTGGCAGCAGGAGACCCCTGGAATTATAAATATAAAACAAAAACGATCACTTCTTTTAATGGACTAATCAGGAAGTTATAACATTCTATGATAGAAGCAAAGCACAAATAGAATTAACCTGCAGAAATATGTGTTCACATTTTGTGTTTGTGTGGAAATTAAGTAAATATTCAATTTAGGTAGTGTAGATACAAAAAAAATAATCACCTTGTAGGCAACTTTGACGACTGTCGGTGCCCACTTGTCAAACTCATACACCCAGTTAGTTAGAGTTCTGTCAGTGAGAGACATTCAACTTTGATTCAGAAACATACAATGCCTTTTTTAAAAGACTTTATGGACAAAATATTTTTGCAGAGTAAAGGTTTAAGCTCACGATAGTGGTACAATGATGAGGTAGGGTCCATTGAGCCGTTTGTGCTCCATGAGGTATGTGATGAGGGCGATGGTCTGGATGGTTTTTCCCAGACCCATCTCATCTGCCAGGATCCCGTTCAGGTTGTTGTTGTAGAGGGAAACCAGCCACTCCAGACCTTTAATCTGACAGAAAGGAAATTCACACAAGGGAAGAAATCTGTTAAACTGCTGTCCCTCAACACAGTCAGAAAATTCAAACATGTCTTTGTCTGTGGCAATGCAGAAAATATCATATAAATGATCTGACTGTGCTTGTTTACCTGATACTGTTTGAGTTGTCCATTTATCAACAAAGTGGACTGTTTCTCCACTTTTTCTGTGACAGCGTGAGCCACTGAGTAATAAGACTGGAGCCCTCGGGCAAACGCTGCACCACTGTACTCGTCATCCACATCCTGCTTAGCATTTCTGCAGAGGAAACACCAAATGAGCACACGCGTTTTTGTTTGGGGACCGCAGAGAGCATACAGCAAATGGAGATAAAATGTATTTAAGAGTACTACCCTATATGTGTACTTACTCGATGATGTGTCGCACATCCACCTCTGACACATCTTCACTGTCAGGATCTGTAATCTTCTTCTTTTCATCTACTGGAGCAGCTGATGGCTGTGGCTCCTCCTCTTCTTCCTGCCAGATGGTGGGAATAGCTTGTCAGTAATCGGAGCAGAGAATATGGAAATGGCTTCAGACATGTCCTACAAAACAACCCACCTCCTCCTCTTCCTCCTCCCCGCTGTCTTCACTGTCCGAGCGAGGAGCCACCTCATAACTGGACAAAATACATACATTACATATTCAAAATAAAATCTACTAACAGCCCCAGCGTGTAAAGATTTCAGCTGTTAAAAGTTATTCTAATGCACCTGTACAGTATAATCTTAAGCCATATTTCAGCCACACACACACAAAAGCATCAAAAGCAACAATATGTAACATGGAAGTTTGTCTCCCCCTACAGTTGCTGACTGTAACTGAGTTGTGCCCAACTGTTATAAATACTAGTTGCGCTTTCCCCCCTCATCCTTATTATCCTTATCCTTATTTATTGTGACACCGAAGATGAACCCTCAGAATTAACAAATAACAGCAGTTTTCTTTTTGGTTTTACTGAAATACTGCTTCTATGTTAATAACCATAAATAACATTTAGCACAATCACATCCGTACAGTTAGAATCTCATCTTTATCACATTATGTAACATTAATTTAGTTTACAAATTAAGTTCTCAAACCAGTTGACGGCAGTATATTTTAAGAATTTATCTGCTTGGGGCCATTTTGGCATCAAATGTCATGCAAAAAAAGAAGTAATTCAACCAACAGACTGACCAGCATCGCCTCTTGCATGATTAAACAGACGTGCCTCTTTACCACCAACACACACGTTGCCTCTCTCTCTATCTCTCTCTCTCTCTCTCTCTCTGTCTCACCCAGGGTTCATCTCCAGCCAGGTCTCCAGCTGTCCAGCTTTAGGAGCGTCTACCCCTGTTAGGATGTTTCCACTGTCCACGTGGATGACCTTCACAGGCAGGTCACTCATCTGACTTGTCTCATCCAGAGGCTGCAGGGGAAGGAGGCAAGTTACCTTCTGGCCTGGCTAAGTTTGAAAAAGTTTTATTTGTTCTCAGTTTCATTGTTTTCAGGCGTGTGTATGGGTGCCTGGAGGTGTAACCAGTGGCTTTCAGTTTGCCACTGTATACAGTAATGTGATGTCAGCGCTGCATTGATGAAAATCCAGTTGATCAAAATGTTGCACAGTAACAAAAAAAAAAAAAAATCAGTGTGTGAGTAAAAAAAACTGTGGATTATGTTTTTTGCCAAGACAACACAAAAAAGCAAAACATTTCCCCTGAAGCATTGTGGGAAATGTAACCTATGTTGTGTTTCACTTATGTTTAAAGGATGTCTCTATAGAGATTAGAGAGCAACAGACAAGGAATCAGGTTTTCACTAGGGGCCGAGCATATCTGAAGAGCAGGTGTATAATAATAATAATAATAATAATAATAATAATGAGTGACTGAATATAGGCTTTAAGTACTTCCTTAATAAAGACAGCTTTTTTAATGTCACCACAACTGCATCACCTCACCTCGCCATCAGGGCCCAGTGCAGGAGTCTGACCCTCAGCATTCTCCAACTACAAGACAGAATAAAGGTGACTACACACAACAGTGATCATTCGCATACGACTGTGAGATCACAAATACGCCACCACACATCATCACAGATAATCAGAAACCAAGGTCAGTAGTACCGTAGATCGGTGTACAAATGAGACGAATCAAATATTGCTGCTGAAGGTAAATGTGTAACTCAGTCCTGCCGCTTTTCATACCTTCTTCTTTTTCTTCTTCTTCTTCTTCTTCTCTTTGAGGGCCTGCGCAGCTTTGTGAGCTCTGACCAGCTCGGTGAGGTTGGCAACATACTCGTCAGTTTGCTGCAGCAGGTAAGCCAGACGCTTATCCTTCTTCTGGTCAATCAGTTTACGATAGCCCTCCTCATCCTCAGCCTGAGAAGATGGCAACATAGACAGTGTGTGTAGGAGGGTGTGTAATGTGCATGCTTGTGTAACTGTGTCTGTGCTGTGCTGTGCCATTTCTTCTTACCATAAGCCTCCTCATCCTCTCTTTCTCAATACGCTCATTTTCCTTCTTCTGCTCCCGCTCAGTGTTGGCGTGGTAGGTAGCCACGGCTTTGGTCAGCTTCTGAATTTTGCCTGTGATGGAACGGTGGTATTCTTTAAAGTCTTTGGCGTGCTGGAGGATGCTGTTGAGGTACTCCTAGGATGAGGGTGGTGAAACAGGAGGAAGAAATAGAAGAGCCAATCAAAAATACTACGCTAAATCTTATCACAGGTAATAGCATGGCTGCTTTGTCTTCTACCTGATGTTTCTGCCTGCGTTTGCGCTCTTGCTCAATCTTCTGCTGTTTTTCCAGTTTCTCTGTGATGCGGGCCTCCCGCAGAGACTGACGCTTGCTGCGTTTGTAGGCCTTGGCGTCGAGGGCAGTCTCTAGGGCTGTGTCACGACGCATACACACCACAACCTCTTGACGCAGCTGTGGAAGGCAAAGGACTTGGATTCACTGTGGCAAGGTGGGATGTAGTAAAGGTTAAAAGTAAAGGTATAGATGGTATCATACATACCTGCCTCTGGAAGTTAAGTAAACGAAGGGCTTTGAGTTCTATCGTCGCTTTGGTACGTAAATCGCCAGCGAGAGAACCTGGCAGGTTCTCCAGTTCAGCAATACGATGGGTGATACGAGCCTGTAACCTGAGGAAGCAAAGAGTAGCAGCTGTTTCATCGTTTATCTGCTTTCTGCTTTTTTTTGTACCTCTGAGTGTACACATATTAAACACACAATTTAAATTAATGATAAACTGAAGGAACAGAAGCGCATAATAATCTGTTAAATATTCGAACTCATCAAGCCAGAAAAACCAAATGAGATGGAGAAAAAAGTGACACCCCCCACAGCTCTACCTGTACTCCCTTTCCTGCAGTATCTCCACCGGGTCGAGGCCGCAGGGTTTCTGAATGGGGGTAATACGGTTCTGCTTAGTGTGGTAAGGCATCATGGGAGTAGGCTGTGCTGACTGGCCGGGGGACTGAGTCTGCGGAGGCATTACCGGGGAGGCAGCAGGGGGAACCGAAGGGGGTGCAGGTGAGGGGCGGCCAGTAGGCTGAGGGGGGATCAACTTCTGGGGTGCGTTTGAGGGCGCTGCTGCATTCACCACGGGACCTGCAGGGGTCGGGGGGGGCAAAGATCAACACCAGAAGCAAAGATCATCACCATGCTGCTGCAGTCTAAATTGATGAAATTACAGCTGAGGTTCACACTGGGATGGATGTTGGGAATTAATAGTTTTAATAAAAGCACATGTGTAGTTAACATTTATTATGGGTCTGTTCCACTTTGGGCGTCAAAGTAAGTCTTGATAGTGAGACAGCATACACAATACCAGGCTCTAAGATCAGGAAACCTGACTGTAACTCTGCCTTTAGTAAAGCTATACTTTGTACCGGTGATTTTACTGTGTGGAAAAAAAGGAGTTTTATATTTAATTTATAGAAAATGTGTTATTTTCATGGATAGGTGTTTAATGTTTCCACTATAATTCTGGCTTTCTGCATCGTGTACATACAGGTCACAAGACACACATTCCGTGTCACACTATTCAGCACTATATGAACCGCAGTTGGTGGCGGTAAGGTCCCATGAAATGTAGCAATGTGCAAACAAAGACACAGAAGAAGAAGACTGGTAGTAATTAAACATAGGTATAAACACTGTAGAAGTCAAAATATTATTTTTTTTTATTTTTATTTCAAAGGAAGGATGTTTATTAGAGCTAGAATAGATACACATACTTAATTTTGGTGAGAAACAATAAATGTACAACTGTTTGTTTATAAAACTCTACAGGTCACCTTTAAGCAAAATAATTTGCTTGGAATGAACATAAGGATAAATCCTGAAAGGCATAGTATATTTAAGAAGCTGCTGGAAATGAGTGTATTATTACAGTACTTTTGGACCAGGGTTCAAAGTGTGAACATGACACTACAGCCAAAAATACCTATTACTGTACTGAAAAAATAATAAAAGCCATAAGAACTGGCCTATGAACATTCTGTTCCACTCTGTCTATTGACTGGAGTTGGATTAGGGGGAACAGGTGTCATTTACATGGGTCTACCAGCTCTCATTCAGTCACTCTACTTCTAATATCATAGCTAGGGTTCAACATAAGTGCCTCCACTACTTAAACAGGAAAAGAGGTTTCACCAGGTCTCAGCAGCCTCACATACCTTCAGGCCAGGACTTGGGAGGCCCGTTTGGGTTTTGTCCCTGCATCCCAGCTGGGGTCCCTGATGGGCCTGGTGGAGGCATGTTGGGACCCATCATACCTAAAAAAAAAAAACAAGAAAGTATAGCTTCTCTTAAGTCTAAGACTTTTTTGTTGAAGATGTGTCTGCTAAAATGATTGTGATTAACAATTGGCTCCATTTTCCTGAAAAAAAGAACACAGAGGTAAGTCCAAGTCTAAACTCCAGGCGCAAGGTGCATAGCTACATGTGCATTTACCCAGAGTTGCATCCAGTGTGTGAAATACAACTGAAAATCTCAAAACTGAATTTTGGGGGTGGGGGGCATTGTAATGTGATTAATTGTATCTACACGTTACAATTTAATTGCACATAACTTTATACATGGTTATTTGTTGCAGGAAAATACCAGTGCACAAGCAGAGTAGACTTGCACCCAAACAAAACTGCATGAAGACTGTGCTTGACGCTATGGCTGGCTTCGCACTGGCAGGAAAATGGAGCTCAATGTGTTTTATAATTGTTTCAGATGCTCATCAAATGACAAAAAAAGAAATAGAAATGCACAAAAATTGAAACCTTATCATTAAGAAACTGATGCCTAATCTTGTTGTGAAAAAACAAGACCCGATGTCCACTACGAGGGGCGTGTTATTACAGAAGAATAAATAATAGTTTTGGAAAAAAAAAAATCTTTGACATGTTTCTTACATCCCGAAGATTTAATTTATATTAAAATAATCAAAATATTCAATTTTTTTCTTCTGGGTCTCAGGATAAGTGTGTCTTCTGTCAAGGATATAGCTTGGTATTCCAGACATTCCCCAGGGACGCTCACCATGAACGCGGCTATAACCTGAACCCATTGGCCCAGGTCCTGCTCCTGGTCCTGGTCCTGCTGGTCCACCTCCAGCCCCAGGAGCCAGGTTGGGCATAGGCTGCTGCATCCCAGTCATTGGCCTCTTTCCTTGAACAGCCATCTGGAGGTGGTCTGGCAGGGGCTGCCCCCGAGCCAGCATCTTATAGGCCATGATCTGGGCTCGGAGTTGGTGGAGCTGGTTCTGGTTGAAGGGAGTTGGGCCACCAGGGCCGCCAGGACCAGTAAGGCCACTAGATTCAAGGCCAGATCCAAGGCTGGGAACACTGGGGCCAAGACTTGGCCCAGGGCTGGGGCCTGGCCCGGAACTACCTGGAGGGCCAGGGCGGTTATTAGAACCCAGTGTGTGTTGATCTCCACCGGAGCCATCTAAAGGAGTAGGGATGGAACCAGGACCGCCAGAGGAGGAGGAAGAAGAGGATGATGGCATAAGAGGACCAGAGGGAGGACCATTTGAAGGGACAGGGCTGGAGTGGTCAGAGCCCCCTAATGGAGAGTGGTAGCCTAAAAACACAGAATGGTGCCGTTACTGTTTCAGGTGGTCTGAGCTGTATGATTTTCAGTATTTGTATACTAACAGAAACTCAAACTATGCAGAGAGCTTAAAAACACAGCTCACAAGTCATTCACAGCTTATGACAGCAAAGTCACTCCCTATGAGTAAGTCAGGCCACACGACTGCATAACGCATCTTACATAGTTCTACAAAGGATGACATTGCTTAATCCAAGTATGCCCACCTTGTGAGTGTTGGTCCAGAGGACTGGGTGGGGGGCCCATACCACTGTGCCCACCCTGTCTCATAGACAGTCCCTTCATCTGACTGAAGCGGCTCTCCTCGCTCATGCTTTTGTCGTGCATGGCCTCCATGGGCTGTGGGAGAAATCAAACAGCATTAAAATGAAAGTATCAGTCCCTCTTGGAAAACAGTAGTAGCATCATATAAAATGTACAGAGTTGTACAATAATCACACACTCGAGGGTTTGGCTCACTATTAAAAACACGAGGCTGGAGTATGGGTTTCACAGCCATTACAGATTAGAAGTAATGACTGCTTTCTCAAGCATGGATTAGTGCATATGTTACAAAACCTGAATTGAAAACAGATTAAAGTACATGTTCAGTCCTGTATGCAATGTACCAATCTGCCTTCTAAGTCATAAGTTGTGTTTTGCTGTGAGAGTAACTCCCATTCAGCAGCATGGCACAGTAAGATTATCCTGTTTCTATACAAATGCGATGTAAAAAACTATATGCATATATCACATTAGATTTGTGGAATATATATTTAAAAACCTCAGTGTGCAAACAGACTGGAGTTATCAACCCCCAGCAGTGATGGAGAGTGTCAGAGGGGCTGCTGGTGTTGGTGCGCCCTTACTTTGTGCAAAGGGTGCATGTTGTCCTGGCCGTATCCTGAGGGGCCAGGCTGTGGGTGTCCAGAGGAGGGTGGACCTGGGCTGGGGCCCATCATACTGTGAGAGGAGCCTGGAGAAGGCCCAGGGCTGGGGCCCAGCATAGCCCCAGGAGAGGGACCCGGACCGGGTGAGGGGCCTGGGCGAGGGGTGCCTCCCAAGGGGGGATCCGGTGTGGACATTGCCTTGGATCTCCTGCTCCTGGTTGAGCAGCAGGGACCTGAAAAATAAAAAAAAGAAAAGACATATGGATAGAAACTAATCTTAGCAAAAACGAAAAGAGATGGAAAGGCAATATGCAAAAGTTACTCATCTAAATAAGCATTAATTTAGTGGTTTGGTTATACAGAACTCTTAAAACTATCAGGACAATAAAGCGGCTGGCTGACTTCAACTATGAGTTTCCTTATAAATAAAGTGGGTGCAAAATCTTTGCAGAATATTTGTAAATTTTGTCCAACGCCTATCAGATGTAGACTCTCCATTCTCCTGCTGCGCTGCACCAAATCATTCGCTGCGCGCATATGCAATTACAGCTGCACGGTCTACCGCTGAACTTGAAGTGAACGCGGGGAAATACAATAAATTATGCACATGAGCCAATGCTACTGAGAATTTCCTCACACAGACCATGAAAGGGTGTCTCGTTAAATATAAAAAAAGGGGGGGAATGGCGGATTGTGCTTGTGCGACTGACCTACCCGCATCATCAGGACAGGCGGTCCTGCGTGATTTTTTGCGCTCCCGTGTTGATATTTGGGGGAGATTAAAAAGAAGACAGCAGTTGTCGCAATTAGTCTACTCACCCTCTTTGTAATCTGCCTTCAAGCGTTGATTTGTTTCACCGACGTGGCTCGAGCGCCCCCCTCCACCACTCCTATGACCGAATGTCTAGTCACGGCTGTCCGGCAGCGCGCATGCGTGCGCAAGCGACTGCAAGGCTCTGTTCACACTGTGCTTTATGTCTGGGCTGTAGGTTCACAGTATCTGTACATACATACGGGTAATTGGCAGCAAGGTGTGCTCCAACATGAGGATAGGAGTCTGCAAGCTTCATCACACCTGTTCTATTTATTATGTATATCCCTGTTAAATCATGGTAAACTGGGTGTTAAGGGAGTAGTATAAATAGTGTAGTGAATTATTAAAGTATAAAAATACAGTACTCTGTAGGAAAAATACATTAGAAATCATAAAATCATTCTTAAAAAGAACTAGGTCTTTTTTCAGAACTTGCAAACACTACGTCCTAAACCCATGGAGTCCAAAGCTTCAGGCTTATTTTCTGTACAGGATGATTGTCACAGAAGAAGGATTAATAAATATTCCACCAAAACATTTGCACCTGCAGTGAACTGACTAATGCAATGCAATAAAATGCATGTTAGAAATAAACACATTATTACCTTGCAGTGACTAACACTGTAGTACTTTCAAAATAGGAGAAATAAACTGAAACTCAAATGCAACATGTTACACAGTGTAATAAACCATCAATCATGAATCAATTCCTCCTGAAGTTTAGGTGCATTAGGTGTGGCTCTGGAACCTTTTTGGAGTTTGCGCTGAGCCATTTACAGTTATCTTGGAAGACCCTTAAGGTAATAATGAGAGGGCTAACCTGAAGCCCATATTCTGTTCTGCTGAACAAGACACCACCACAGCATCCATTATTACTCAGGATCGCTGTCACACTCACTCACCACTGAGTAATAGGAAAACGTTAGATGGTCATCCAAGGCCTTTCTAAGATACCTAGACATTTCACATCTGTAATGTGGTCAAACCGAACAAACGTAACACCAGATCACAGAATAGTTTAGCTTTAAAAGTTCCTCATGCAAAGACTGAACTGTAGAAGAGAAGCTTCCAGTGCCACGTCATTTACTACTGGAATGAACTGGGAAACAAACTTATGTTTAAGACACTCACTCATCTGCAGAAATTTTGTTTTATAGAAGAACTTTGCATTTTGTCTGATAACAGTCAGTGCTTCTTCTGCATTCAAGTAACAATAAAACAGTGCAACTCTTTCAAAATGCAAATCTACAAAGTGTCAGATACAAGTGAAATGTGATTCCAGTGTTTGAAATTTAATCAAGACAACAAACCAAATAGTGCAACTTGCAGTAGTAGCCTTGACATAAAAAAGTGGGCTAAAAAAACCCCACAAATTACATCACAACAAAAGTTTGACCATCTAAACAAACTCTCCATTCAGGTCTTAATGACTTGTCTGTATCACTTGGACACATTCACCCAGAATCTGGACTAAGGTTAAAAAAAAAAAGTGCTGTTCTGAGGTTGACTTTGCAGACGTGTCCAGATAACTCCGCTTTCCCCATTCATGAGACAAACTAGTTTAACAAGTACTGACACCCCAACCTGGGGGATAGAGTAACTCTTTATACATTATATATCTGAGAGTGTCTCATTTTACCATTAATGAGTACCGGACAGCCAAAGCTGGACCTGTGTGGGATTGATGCTCTTGGGAGAATTTGAAACTTCTGAACTGCAATGTGACAGACTCTCAAATACATCAGTACACTTATTAAAGATGAAACAAACAAACTGCACTAACCCCACATACATTTAAACGCATTCATTAACCTGACAAATATAGTCAAAGCATGAACAATAAAAAAAGACAGCAGTTGGTATATATTACAAGTCAAAAACAACAACACCAGACAGCCCTTCACCTGACAAGCAGCTCATTAAATATTATGTAGATCACACATCACCCGCAGTAAATTCAGTCCAGACCAGTAGAACACAGAGCGGTTGAGTGAAGGTGGAGCTTGATTTTACTCACGCATGGCTGATTTTGAGGCTTTTTAGGTGTCAAATAAAGTGAATCACCGCTCCAGCTAGCACCTATTATTGCCTACTAGCTTATGATAACCACCGTCACATGGTGATGGCAAAAGCCACACAGTTTGTTTACTGGTGAGGGCAGAACAGCACAAGTGTCATGTCCACAGTTAAGTGTCCTGTTCTGCCCCCATTACAGGTGGCTACTAGAGCAGCCTCCTCCGGGTTTTACAGGAAGACAAATTCATCACTGTTTCTTCTGTTGTTACTCCTGCCCAGTTTTCCCGAAGGGAGGATGTGAGCTGCAGATCCACTGTGATTGCTGCTGTGACACTCAAGTCCATAGTCCTGACCCTGGCCATCTACGAAGGTAAAGATAGGGTACTTCTCCTTGGATGATAGGGCCTGGGAGGACAACAACACCCCTTTAAATAGACAGTCTCAAAATGCACCATGGGTGGTTCAAAGAAAAAAATGTCCAGTCGAGAGAGTCAGGGATATCCCTTAAATACCTCCAAGCCATAATTAATAAACCAACAATTATTTTCATTATCAATTAGTTATTTTCACAATAAAGTGTTTGCTTTGCCTATAAAATGTATAGAGGGGTACGATTAACATTCTTTGTATTATTAATTTCCCTGAATAATTCATTATTTGGTTTGTATATCAAATGGCACAAATAAAAATAAAAAAACTCACATTATATATTTATGTATTATATTAGAATTCCCAGAGGCCAATGTGACTTAATGACTTTCCCAATCATAGCTCAATAACCAAAGATATTCAATTAATATCAAATACCTAATTATTAAAATAGTGGTTGAATAATTATCTGTCAATGGTCTAAGTGCATCAAACCCAAGTTGTTTCAGCTCCAAATGTTTACATATAAAAGATATGACTTCAAATTACTTGGCGGTTTGTTTTTTTTTATTTGACCAACAATAAACATTTTTAAAAGGCTCAGTTTGCAGTGATATAAAACGTAGCGGGGTATAAATCAAATTTAAGATGCTTTAACCAGTGAATGTTTGATAATGAATTAAACAATTAATGATAAAACTTGTTTCAGCACTGCATGATAACTTGACTATGAATGTTTGGTATTTATTGCCATCAAATTTACAGTCAGATAGTGGGAGGAGGGTGTAATAACTCACCTCGCTAACAGTGGAACACAGAGACTCAAAGTCCTTCTTGTTCTTGGCATAAAAGCCAATTGTACAGCTGGGATCCATGCGGCTAAAGGGCATCTTTTTGGGAGAGCTACAGTGGAAGGACTGGACAGTGATAGGGGAGACAGAAGTCATACAATAAATGTCTATAAAAGTTCATAAGTAGACATAATGTACACTCTTTAATAGTGTGTACAGTCAAAGCATTCAATTAGAAAGTCACAGTGTCGGAAAGCAGTGAGGGGGCAGGCAGACAGACAGAGACAAACACATAGAAACAAACATGTAAAGGACAGACAGTGCCTCAAACCTCCAGTGAGAAGTTGTCTTGTGTGACATCCACCACAGGTTGGCAGTAGTGAGGGTCCAGATACAGCAGCTGCTCGTCTGACACACACACACACACACACACACACACACAGGAGAAATGAGAAACCTGCCAAGTGCCACTCACTCACTCAGCTGTCACATACTGCATCAGTGATTAACGAGTCTTCCCTTTCCAATGTGTTTCTGTAGACTCCTCTGTGCGCTTTTTGTTCACAAAGTGCTTCCGATGTGTGAGTTAAAGGGATCCCAGTACAAACACAAGCACAAGTCTCACTCAAGGTGCATGTGAGATGCCACGTGCTGCACACACTACGCTTTTGGTCAGTGCCACTGCTTGCATGTCGTGGACTAATTAAATCTGACCAGCACAGAATCAAATATCTCACAGTGATCGACCGGTCAAGTCTGATCACGCTGAAAACCGGCCATTTCTGGTCGATGGGTGCATCTCTAGTTGGGCTGTGAAACATACAGTGCCTTGCGAAAGTATTCGGCCCCCTTGAACTTTGCGACCTTTTGCCACATTTCAGGCTTCAAACATAAAGATATAAAACTGTAATTTTTTGTGAAGAATCAACAACAAGTGGGACACAATCATGAAGTGGAACGAAATTTATTGGATATTTCAAACTTTTTTAACAAATAAAAAACTGAAAAATTGGGCGTGCAAAATTATTCAGCCCCTTTACTTTCAGTGCAGCAAACTCTCTCCAGAAGTTCAGTGAGGATCTCTGAATGATCCAATGTTGACCTAAATGACTAATGATGATAAATAGAATCCACCTGTGTGTAATCAAGTCTCTGTATAAATGCACCTGCACTGTGATAGTCTCAGAGGTCCGTTTAAAGCACAGAGAGCATCATGAAGAACAAGGAACACACCAGGCAGGTCCGAGATACTGTTGTGGAGAAGTTTAAAGCCGGATTTGGATACAAAAAGATTTCCCAAGCTTTACACATCCCAAGGAGCACTGTGCAAGCGATAATATTGAAATGGAAGGAGTATCAGACCACTGCAAATCTACCAAGACCTGGCCGTCCCTCTAAACTTTCAGCTCATACAAGGAGAAGACTGATCAGAGATGCAGCCAAGAGGCCCATGATCACTCTGGATGAACTGCAGAGATCTACAGCTGAGGTGGGAGACTCTGTCCATAGGACAACAATCAGTCGTATACTGCACAAATCTGGCCTTTATGGAAGAGTGGCAAGAAGAAAGCCATTTCTTAAAGATATCCATAAAAAGTGTCGTTTAAAGTTTGCCACAAGCCACCTGGGAGACACACCAAACATGTGGAAGAAGGTGCTCTGGTCAGATGAAACCAAAATCGAACTTTTTGGCAACAATGCAAAACGTTATGTTTGGCGTAAAAGCAACACAGCTCATCACCCTGAACACACCATCCCCACTGTCAAACATGGTGGTGGCAGCATCATGGTTTGGGCCTGCTTTTCTTCAGCAGGGACAGGGAAGATGGTTAAAATTGATGGGAAGATGGATGGAGCCAAATACAGGACCATTCTGGAAGGAAACCTGATGGAGTCTGCAAAAGACCTGAGACTGGGACGGAGATTTGTCTTCCAACAAGACAATGATCCAAAACATAAAGCAAAATCTACAATGGAATGGTTCACAAATAAACATATCCAGGTGTTAGAATGGCCAAGTCAAAGTCCAGACCTGAATCCAATCGAGAATCTGTGGAAAGAACTGAAAACTGCTGTTCACAAACGCTCTCCATCCAACCTCACTGAGCTCGAGCTGTTTTGCAAGGAGGAATGGGCAAAAATTTCAGTCTCTCGATGTGCAAAACTGATAGAGACATACCCCAAGCGACTTACAGCTGTAATCGCAGCAAAAGGTGGCGCTACAAAGTATTAACTTAAGGGGGCTGAATACTTTTGCAAGGCACTGTATAAAGCAGCTGAAACGTCCATTCAGAATGAGCTGGTTTGCTGTTGACATGAGGACTGAGCCATTAGCATCAGCAAAAGCTTCATATAAACACATCTACAGTCATTTGTAGTGGTTGCAGTAAAAGGATGCAGCTTCAGTACAACCATGTCTTTATAATGCTACAAGCACAGCTCCCTTTCTGAGGCAGATATTGCCAACAAAAATGTTCACTGGCTCCTGTATTGTTTACCCAGAGAACATCAAATCCTTCCTCAGAATAATGACTGTTATTTAATCCCTTCCTTCCTTTAATTGCTTCAAAAAGCACAAAGAGGCCGTTTCTCACCTTGGAAGCCGATGAAGAATAATGAATGCTTTGGTTTTCCTCCGATGATTCCAATACAACACTCCAGCTTTAGGATGTTCTGGAAATGAACACCACAGTTTTTAATACAACTTAAGTGCTAGAACTTAAAGGACAAGGCTGATTAGTTTCTGTCGCAAAAAGACCAAAGCAATAATGAATGAGCTCCATTATTATTTGTGTATCCAGAACCTTATTTAGCTTATTTTTTGTGCCGCTGAGCTTCAATGTTTCCTAAAAACGTAACAGTGAACCACACCTTTACGATGGGCAACATGTTTCCTTATTACTATTAATGGCTGCACAGACCAATAACACTGTAAGGTGGAGGCAATTCTTAACAAAACACTACTCTACCAACCTTGACACATTCAACGTAGGAGGGGTTGAGGGCTTCCCCTCCCAACCGGACAGGCACCAGTATGATAACAGACTTCCAGGCTTGGCTGGACCGTTCTGCAGGAGTCTCACTTAGTGACAGATCACACAGACGCACCACATCCTCTTTGTACACTAGAAAGCAGATACGTGATGAGATATATGACTGCATAAAAATGCACACCAGACAACTTCTTTGGGTGAAATATTTCCATAGTGTACATGTTGGAGCAAAGCAATAATCACACTGATGCCACTGAACTGAGCGCTCACAGGGGTAATTACTAAACTCAACAAATATCTATTCTGTAAGTCTCACCTGTACAGTCCTGAGCCACATACACAGCCAGGTTGTGGACTACAGAAGCTGTGGCTACTGCTTTCCTGAAAAATAAATACATTGTCATAAATCTAATCAATGTTCAATAGTTTCACATATAGAAATCCTTGAAGAAAACAGTAAGAACAAAGTCTCTTCAAACACAGAGTCCTTACCGTAGTATGTGGGCCACTATGGAGGGTCCATACCAGTCACCAGCCTTCTTCCCTGAACTTTTACCAATCTCCACCAGCTGGTGAACCCCAAAAGGCGCTGGGGGCTGGTCCCCGAACCAGGTGACCAGTCTGTGGTGGATGGGCTCTGCTTGCCTGTCCCTTGCACACTCAGGTCTCGTCCACTGGCTGCGTCTGGGCACATTATCACTTGGCAGGGACCTCTCAGGGGTGTTGGACCCTCGCGGAGAGCCAAAGGAAAGAATGGGCACCCCTACGGCCCGAGCTGGGGAACGTGGTCTGAACACCTCAAAGTCCACATCGGTTAACTGCTGAGCATCTGGCCAGGTCCAATCTACAGAATACAACTGCTCTTAATAAGCAAGCTAAATTTCTGGGGTATTTTTTCCTTAAACTTCACTTGTCTCTAGCTTTAAAGAATCAGAGAGCAGATGTCTTTGAATTATATTAATTAGCATCAGAATGAACCAATAATAAAAACATGTTTTAAATAGAAACCGAGCAGAAAGCAGAAGCTGCACACAAGGAACCCGAGAAAACCACAGTCAGCAGAAAAAATGATAAGTAAGACATTAAACGTATGTGAATAACATAAAAGAACAAAACAGAAAGATAAAGAGCAGAATAAACTAAGACATATAAAAATTAAAAGAACACAGGAATTTGACAAATGAAAGAAAACTGGATTTTCTTCATCTGTTTAGGCAACATAAGCTCAACCAGCCTGTTAAAAGGTGCTGAACAGCTTTCACATACCACTCAATCCATGTAAATATACCGATACATTTCTATAGTGAGTGTAAAAATTTGGCAGAAACACAAACCTCTAGGCATCAAATGAACCAGGAGTCCCTGTGCCAGCAACATCTGGCCACTGCGCAGCATACAGCCCCAGCCACAGTCTGTGGTCAAGGTGGAGCCCTCCAACTGAGGAAACTCCTTCCTGTAGGTCAGCCAGACCCTGGACACAAAAGCCAGATGAAACCGCTCCACTTCATCTGAGACGCAGCAAAACGGAAGGAAAGAGACAGAAAAAAAAGAAAGAACAGAAACAGTTTATGATGATTATCTGACATGACAAAGATAAGCTTGCATGAAAATTGTGTAATCAAAGACAAGGAGGAAAGCTGTATTTGCTTTTGCTTCTCCTGCTGCTCTATGTTCTGATGTTAACTCGGCAGACTTTCAAAAGGTTTGTCATTGTGGTGCACCAACACACACATCACTGCAACGCCCGGGGCCTGCTCTTTTTAAAGTTTCCCTCTCTATTGAAAAAATACTGCATTCACTCAGCATCAATGGGGCCTATACTGAGCCATACTACATGTTATCTGAGATGCAGGTGTATTTAGAACTTACCCTCACTGTTGAGCAGATAGGAGTGTCCCAGGACAGTGACTGGTGAGATCTTGTTAAAGGAGGTTTTAGACTTCACAGTCCAGCCTACAGAAAGAAAGAAACATAAGAACATCCCAGTCACTGGAGCAGGTTGAGAGAAGCTTTGTCAGATGCTGACAATAAAATACAAACCTTGACATGTTTTATGATATATAAAGACAAAAACATGCAGCCATCCACACATAAATTAGGAATTCATAAATTAACTAACAACAAACCATATTTGACATTGTTCCATGCTGACATCAGTTTGGCTTTCAGCTTGTCCACCTCATCAGGCTCTCCGGTCGCTTCTCTGCTGGCATCTGGAGTCTGAGGGGGTCTGAGAGCAAAGCTGCTTTGCCGCTCCATGTGCTGCTGCCTCCGGCTGTCCACCAGCTCATCCTGCATCACTCCCCCTGTGTACTGTGCTGCGCTGGGGGAAATGGAGTTCATGCCGCTGAGCCCTCACAGCTGCATTCTGGTGCTCCTCATTGCAACAGAGAACCGACAGGGAAAAAGAAAAGGAGACAATGAGATAGCTGAAAGTAGAACTAAAACAGTACATTGAATCACATGGATGCTTTTTCTCTAGACTGTACTGGGAAATGGCACCGCGAATACTAAGGAAATCCTCACTTCCTGGAAAACTATACACAAACGCAATATTGTCAGAGTAAACTGAAGTTATTTCAAAATTCAAGACACACTAAGGAAAGTACCAGTGACTTTTCCACCTTCCCCGAAACTGCTGGGTAGGAGCTTTAACAGGGAACCTTGTGTAGTCATTTAACGCAATGAACATTTTCGTGGGAAGGGGAAAAAAAAAAAAAAATCATGTGATTACCATTACACAACCCACATGTCCGGTTTTTTTATAAGTGTCTGGGAAAGTCATGTGATTTATGGTGGCTGTCAACATTCATCATTTTACATCAAGCTGGTCAATACCTAAACATATTAAAGCAACTCCAGGGCACATGTATCGCCTGTCCGCATTAAAAACAAAGTTAAATGGCTTTCTGACCGTCAACCACACAGTGATTTCACTGTATTTGACTCACTGGTAGAAACAGTTTTTGAAATGTCTTAATATACTTACTATATTTGCTTACTTTTTTCCTCAAACACAACATTCAAGCATAATAATAATCAAATGGCCACTATACCCCAACACCTAATTTAAATATAACAAATTCACATAAGATTAAAGATTCATTAGCTAACAACAAAGTTACCTACTGTACCTGCTGTAATAGCCGGTTATGCTGCTCGACACCTTGTAGTGGTTTGACTCATGTCGATGATTTCCTCTCACCTCGCCCACGACCGTAGTCCTTTCGACTAAATTCACTGTACTATTGGCTTGGCTAACTTTAGTATTTAAGGACGCTAGCCCCGGCGCCAGCTACCTAGCATTCAAACCTGACTGACCAAAACTTGTCAATAAAACACAGCTGATGTCTACATGGTAAGCATCCCACCATTTGATACACGAGCTAATATGTCCACACTGCTGTGAAGATAATCCAGTACATTGCGGATTTGTTTTTATGTCCAGCAGCCCCCACTTTAGCATCTCCCTTTGCTTCAATCGCAGAGGACATTTACTTCCTGTTGTCCTTTCCTGATGCAACGCCATTGGTTGGAGTAATCATAGTGAGAAACCTGATTGGATAATATTCCAACATGAGAGATTAGCAGTATGCTTTACTAGCTTATGCAGGGTGTCATAGTATCATAAACTTGTTTGTCGCAGATCTCATTTTCTGCAATAATCCAAAAGCCTATGGAGAAATCCCAGTGGCTTATTGTCGAGGGAACCCACGGATATGTTATGCTACCTGTAACTTTTGGGTTGGCCTACAAAAATACGTCATTCCCCACGAACTGTTACAGTTACAGTTACTGTTATAAGGCTTGTTCGAGACGAACTGCGCCTCGCCTGGTAGGCAGACGAGAGGGTACCTGAGAGCAGACAGTCAAGATGGGCGCACACTTGACTGCAGCGCCGATTATGAATGGTATTTAGGCGTGAGGACTATGAGGACTGATCGGACCCAGGCGGACTGAATCAGGCTCAGTAGTTGTTGACAATCGGCAGATAAAATCGTGTGGTGTGTGCCATGTACCGATTCTAATCTTAAGAACCAGTCGCGGCCAGCCGTTCCCATAATTAATTTTAAACTTGTTTAATATTTACTAATGATATCGGCGATCGATGACGTCACGTACGTGTCTACAGAGGGAAACATACCAGGTTAATAAATAATAAAAACTATAAAGTTTCAAGAAAGGTGGTTAAAAGGACTGTAGTGCACCAGACACCTAAAGTGGAGGGGAAACTACTGAACTGTGGCAGGAGAATGAACGCTTTTACAACATGAACTTAATTAAAACACATACCACAGCAGGGCTGATGCGTTTCAGTTCCCTCTGTAGCTGTGCAGTCCGCATCGTTGTTGTCTCTCCATCCAGGATCTCTTCCTAACCCTGCGCCCTCCTCCCTCTTTGTGTTATTTTCAGCACAAACTGAGGTGTAAAATAGATATAAATCATGCAAACCGGTTGCGTCCATATTTGTTTTGGACACGTGAGAATTGGCGTGACCTTGCGGATTTTACTGGCTTGTCTGCTGCCAAAACCTCCAGTCATTAAGGCTGCTCGAGATGACCCAGATCTGCACAGAACTGGTCACCGGCGATCGGCGCACAATGAAGGCCGGTTAATTTTCTGTTCGACTTGATCCCGACTTGCTCTGACGTAATGCTCACGTAGTCAACGATATTCTCACGGGATCGAGACTGCTGCAGTTTTTGGAGCCAGGCGTCCTAATTCTTCTGCACCGACTGTAAGAGCTCATTTGAGAGCTGATTGATTGAGATGTTGGTTCAATAACAGTGTAGTTTCACATCAAATCAAGCCTGGTCAGCTCAGATACAGCAGCAAACTGATATGATGACTGCTTTGTATGAGAAATGTAGCCCACATACATTTTCAGACATAATATTTAAGCAGTAGTATGGATATCAAGAGAAATCAGCATCTTATCAGTCATACAGAAGAATGTCATTAAAACAACAGCTGTTTGACCCTGAGTAGAAGCTGAAAAGTTGGGTTTGATGACACTTTATTCATGACCATAGTGCCTCCACCACTGCGAAGCACCTTGTCAGTGAAATGTTCTGCCACGTTGATGCGCCCAAGGAACTGCACAGCAACCAGGGACAGAACTTTGAGGCTGAGGTGTTTGCTGAGGTCTGTCAGTGGCTGGGTATCAAAAAAAGACTTGGATTATGCCACTGCATCCAAGATGCAATAATGGAAAAATTAAGGGTCCTTTACATGTCTTAGTGGTTATTTTGTGCCTCTTTAGTAAGCTGATTCACTTTCCAAATAGAAATGTTAACTCTTGGGCCCTTTGGCTCCTGGGTCTGTTCCCAGAAGGACAGTGGTCCCCAAGGACACTTTGACATGTGGACTGCAGGCACCGAGATTCAAACCTTCAACCTTTCAGTCAGGAGACGGCTGCTCTACCCACCGCACTGTTGCCTCCCCCTGAATAGAAAGACTACTCAGTAATCCTGCAATATCTAAGAAGAAGGGGAAAAAAAGTCAGAAAGATGGGAGGTTTGGAACAAATCTCAGACTTTTATTATGCTGCACTTAAGGTGTCTGCATCTGAATCACATCTGTCACAAACAAAAATGCCCCAATGATACAAATAAACACATTATCAGTGACTAGAGAAATGTGGAATGTTATATATGGTTGGACTTTCGTGTTCATTTGTAGAATCCATATTTGTATACAATATATTTACTTTTTCTCCAAATTAACTTGGAAATAACAGTAAATGAGGATTTTCTTTAAAATAAAGTGCATATTTACTACTGTCTCTGTCAATCACAAAAAAAAAAACAAAACCAAAAAACCCTGAAATGGTCAAACATGTAACACTAGTTCTGAACAGACACTATTGATAGGCAAAAGACCTGAAAGTGAGCTGTATAAGATTACATTGCAGGTAGTTGTCTTAATCAGGTGATCAGAGCTAACCTGACATCTCCTTTAGTTACATCAAGATATAAAAAAACTCCTTCCTATCAGTACAGTATGACACAGTATACTGAAAAACATTAATCCCTATTCCAGAAGATATAATTAACAGTCACATAAAGAATACAGAAAAGAAAGGGATCCGTGTTTCAAGTGTTCATTTGATAATTACTGCAAGTATTTTGTCATCAGAAACATAAATGCATATTCAGTAAGCTTCTGGCTAATAACATCCATTCTACACTAAGTCAGCATTCTGGGCTTCATTACACAAACTCTCATCCCAGAGGATTTTTAATAAATGCTTTATGGAAACATGTTGAACAGTGGACACTGTGAACCACTGGAGGGCAGTCGAGTACCATGCTGAATAAAAACACACTGGCTAATGCATGTACTGGTTACTGGGGAGCGGAACATCACTGGTACCTCATGAAACATTATTATGAACAAGGATGGACTGTGAATAGAATCCTTCTTTTAAATTTAAATAGATTAAAATCTATTTATATTGCATAAAAAGATACATTGAGCAATGTTTTGTATTAATAGCTGCCAATATAATAAATTATAAACAACTTCCCATTTGGTTGCTCAACACAAAGACCGGTGGCAAATGAAAGGAAAAGGTGCTGGGCCACCACATGCCACCAATACAGCGTCAGTTCACCTTGGCATTGATTCTCCAAGTCTCTGAAGTCTACTGGATGGATTACCACCATTCTTCCAAGCGATATTCCCTCATTTGGTGTTTTGATGATGGTGGCGGAGATGCTGTCTAACACATTGCCTCTGTAATCTCCCACAGTTGTTCAACTGGGTTGAGATCTGGTGACTGTAAAGGCCACAGCTTATAATTTACATCATTTTCATCCTCATCAAACCACTTAGTGACCCCTTGTGCCCTGTGGATGATTACACAGAACAACTTGGTATTGATTTTGCAGTGACCCAAACCATGCCACTGTCTGCATTCATTATGTTTCTCCACTCACCTAGTGACATTTTCCCTTTAATCTGTCATCATTATGTATCTTTTAGATAAAAACGACATTTCAGTCTTTGAACCTCTGCTTTGTTGTTTACATTTGTAGAGCTTAGAAGAAAAAAAATCATCAAACCACTGACAGAATGTAATTTTTAACAATGAATCAAATCTGGAATGTTACCCAAGTCCATACTGTAAACAAACTAAACAGTTTAGTGACAGAATTCCTTGCATTCAGCTGTAACTGAGTTGCATAAGATTATGTACACTGTAGTGTTACAGATGTGATGACTACAATCAGTGGGAGAGGAACAGTAGTTGTTTGTGTCCTGCCAACATCTGACCCTTCTCTGCACTCCTGCTGAGATTACTGATTCAAAATGCCTGTACCAGTAGGCTTTATAACAACACGTGAGCAATGCATTAATCCATTCTATCGAGTGTGGAGTATCCAATAACACAGTCACTCTGACTACATTATAGAAAACCTTGTTTTTACATTTTCACTGTGATAAACCATGCCCATATCCACTAGTGATAGAGCCCTTTAACAAATACATTATGCTATGCATTATGCTACATGCTATGACTGACTGCTTTTCTTGTTGTGGCCACACATGGGGTCACTGTGCTTATGACAGTTTTTTACATGTGCCCACATAAGTAATCATTTGTATTCCTGTGTGATTTGCTAATGAAGTAGCAAAGCATTTAGCAAAACCTGTAAGTGTTGTCAGATCCTTGCAGCTCTCTGTTCAGTTCCAGGTTGTCTTCTGTCGTGACCCTTTGCCGAGTCAACTGTGCTGAATGTAATTCTCCCTTGAAAAGACATGTACATGCTCAGACACTCCCAAACACACTCATGTCCCAGTTTATCAAGCACAGGGGATTTAAATGCATGAAAATTAGCTGCTGACATTGCTACCACTGGCAACGTGAGCGTGAGTGTGTGTTGGCTGTAGTCAGAAGTAGAGGGAGAAAAGGGCTGTGGTGGGGCTCCTGCGAAGGAGAGATAAGTGTTGCTCCTTGCTTTCCTGTGCAGCAGGACACAGCCTTCAACCACCAGAAACAGACCCAAGGTGACTTCAGATGCACAAACACACAAACACACATAATCCCCTGCGACAGACAGAGCTGGACAGAGCTCGATGTGACGTCTGCTGACAGAGTGCCTGCTCTGGCTTTGTCTGACTGTGCACATCAACAAAGAAAGAAAGAAATGAGCTTGTTGCTCACCCACTGTAGCCAAACCGATGCTGTGTGTCTTTTGTGTTGTCTGAAGAAAATATAACAACTCAAGTGTGCCTTCGTTTATCCCACTGTTCCATTGTCTTGATTGATAAGCAGTAAAAGAAGAAAGGGCTGGTTGAAAACAGAGTGACTGGATTTGGTTTTCACAGTATTCAGCATGAGTTGATCGGTAAAGCACTTTTTGATCCACTTGTATCTATTGTACATGTACAGTACATACCATATGACATGCGTTCACATACTGTAGACCCACATACGTATACATCTGATAGTGTTCCACATTATGTTGTTAAATAATTTATAATAGAAAATCAACAGTTAATGCACCTTTACAGTACACTTTAACGCCTAGTTTTAAGTTCAAATCAGTCAATGACTGGAATCAATAAATAATTTATATACTCTGAAAATGGAATGTACATTTTTTTTAAGTGCTTGACTTTTGTTGCACTGTTCTTCCAGAAAAGGCATTTCTCTTGTTGGTTTTTTTTTTTGTATTCTAAGCTAAAGTTCTATTTAGGGACCCCATGGGGTCACATTTTTGGTGGGCTGCTACCTGTCGGAGCCTTCTCTAGCGATGACCCAGCAGGACTCTGGGTCACTACTGCAGCTCCAACAACCACTCGACCTCCAGCAGGAGGGTCAGACTTTCCTGCTGTGCCTCCCTGCTTCTCCTCTGCTGCCTTAGTCTGCTGATCTTTGCTCTTGGCCCCTTCCTGGGAGCCGAGCTTGATTGGCCCGAGGACGTTTTTGGCCACAGTGGTCAGCTGGCTAACGAAGCTCGTCTTGTCACCAGGGGACATGGGTCGTGATTTACAGAGAGAAGGCCCGCAGAGGGAGGGGGTGACAGCAGTAGGGGAGGGAGAAGGGGAAGGCGAATGCTCCTCCACCACCTCCAGGCGACATTTGTCCTCCCAGTCTAGGGTTCCGCGGTAGCAGTTGACAGGCCCGAGCCCCTGCCTCACCTTGGCCAGCGAAAGTGGCTGCCCATGTGGTGGAACAACGGGAGCGAGGACCCGAGCTTGAAGTTTGGGGCTTTTAGAGCCGAGGTCTGGAGTCCTTAAATCACTGTTCTCAGCTCCAGCCTGTCTCAGGCTGTCACCCATACCTGATGGTTTAAAAGTTTTGTTAATGCTCAGAGGCCCTGATGTCACTTTATCTGGAGCAGCAGCAGAGCTCTTAGTAAAGGGAGCATCAGGTAAACCAGGCCTACTCTTGTGGTCACCTTCCTGCTTTGGTTCACTTCTGCCCCCTACCTGCTCCTGGAGATCTTTACTATTAGACAGTAAACTTGCCTTGGGGTCTAGTTGTTTTTGAGTTAAGTCTGCCTGACCCTGGGGGATCTTTTCAGCCACCTTCTGACTACCTATACTTCCTGATGCTTTGGTAGAATTTGTAACTTTAGTAGTTTCTGCACTCACTCTGGAGCTTTGCAAGTTCAAGGGCAGCTCACTTGTTTGAGGTTCTCTTGTTAAAGATGACTGCGAGACTGTTGCTCCAACTCGACTTGTCCCGGTCCCTGTGTCCATGTCTTTCTCCCTCTCCCTTCCTCTCTCCCTCTCTTCCCTCTCCCTCCCAGCCAGCAGTGTTTCTCTGCTAAGTGGTGACTCTTGTCTCCCTAGTCTCCTCACAGGTTTCAGCATACCAGTCTCTGGTGTAGTGTAGGATGAGAGCAGGGGTGGAGGATTAGGGGGCAGATTTTCCCCTTCTGTCTCGAGCAGGCTCTGGAGCCCGAGCTCACAGAGGAAGGCATCTTTACGGTACTCAGAGTGCTGCACCTCCAGACTGTGCTTCCTCAGTGGACCTCCCAGCCCTCCCGTGGAACTGGACTGGGTCAGAGGCGAACCCAACTTCTCTGCTGACTGTACCCGTTTGAGAAGAGGTGACCGAGGGGGCTCGGCGCTCTTGGGCCTGGGCCGTACCACCGGCGGAGAGGAGTGAAGCTTGACAGGGAAGGACTGGGTGGTATTGGAGCTCCCCACGGTGTGGCCTGGCAAGGGCGGAGGTGAAGACTGGGTAGGGGAGGGTGTGTGGGCCAGTGGTGATAAGGGGATGTTACCAGCAGACTTACAACGAGCAGAGCGGTATTGGCGGTGGAGTTTAGGTGACAGGCCATGCAGGGAACTGGGTCTCATGTGCTGGGAGGGAGCTGGGGAATTTGGAGTGCTAGAGGCTGGAGAGCTGCTCTGTGAGGAGGCACCTAAAGGACCACAGAAGGCAGAAAACCTCACTTAAAATACATAAACTTTTGATTAAAAAAAATTGAATGAATTTTGGCTTCTTCTGGCTCCAGGCCATATACTCTATTTTGGAATTAAAGCTGGAAAACTCTCAGTTGCATGTTCTAAAATATGGCTAGTGTTCTGTGCAGGCTTTAAACAGGAACATTTCTATAATGTGAATTGATCTTAGAGCATTTCTCTTTGAGCACTTGCAAGTAGAAGTTAAATTCCAGTATCCTACCCAGGTATGAGGGCTCGGGTGTGGAGCGGTAACCCTGAGTCGGGGACCGGGCAGACAGGCTGTGAGTTGGGGACCCAGGAAGGCTCTCACTCGAGGACAGGCTGCGATTCAAAGAGGACAGGCTGCGGCTAGTGTGCAGCAGATTAGACTGCTTGGTGATCTTACGGAACAGGGAGCTACGCTTCTTACTGCAGGATGGGCAGAGAACGAAAAGACAGGACGAGAGAGGAAAGTTTGAAATAGGACTGACAGAAATAACATCCATTCATCTATTTATTAAATTCACAATACCAGTGGTTTTGCATGATTTAGCACATTAGCTACAAGTTATATACAAACTGTAGTCACAGCAAATGTGTTGCTTTATTTTGCTGTGTGAAAGTTTTGAAAACTCTCCTTGTTGTTGCATTCCAAGTAACTGTGACCTTGCATTAATGAGCCATGTAGCTGGAAAATCAAGGACAAAGGACAGCATAGACATTGTGGAAAAAAAGATCATTTGTATTTAGTTGTTCTGGCATTAAAAACAAATGATCAAATTCAGATTCTGCAGACCAGTGGAGTTATAACTGTTAAATACCGATTGATTAACAGTGACAACTGATAAAAATGTAAGTTTTCAAGTCTTTGCAACTTGATTTTTGCAGTATACTCAAATTAATATAAATCTACTAGAAAATTGTCAGCAGTAAAGTATAATTCCATTATTATATATACTGTTATTTATTCTGTCTTTTGTCAGTCATTTGTAAAGCACTTTAAATTGACCTGGCCTGTATAAATGGTCTTATACCAATAAAATTGTGATTTATTGATTGATTATACTTGCTATTTTTATTCATACTATACTGTGAAGTATAACACTGTGCTTTAATATACATGTAGAATTAGTGTTATAGTATGATTTGTAAATAAAAACATGAAAACCTCCAACCCTTAATTTGGTACTCTCACCAGATACAAAGACAAACTCCTCTACCCTCCACATTCTGTTAATGAAACATGAGATCAGTACCGCTGTCATAGCCTGTGTGTAAGCTCTTACCTGTCCTGGCTGTCCTTGCCCATGGTCCTTTTGTTTCGTCGGGCCATCTTACACTTGTAGCTGGCCTTGCGGGCAGGACCCACTTTAATGGAGGTGTTTTCAAAAGGCGTAGTTGTCACTGTCACCTTGTTACCACTCTGCAGAGCAGTGACACTGCATTAATTCTACACTGATACAGTGCTGAAGTTATTTACTGCAACTAAACCGACCAGCTAACACACTGCCATTATTCATAAAATTAGTCAGTCAAGATTTGGTCTGGAATATATTTGGATGAGGCTGCAAATACTTTGTTTGAATCGACAACTTTAGACAACTAAGTAGCTGCTCTTCAACAGCAATGGACAACACAGAGAAATAGTGATTTTACCAGTGCACAGTGAGAATGAAGGGATGTACTGCCTCCTACCTTGAGGATGAGCTCTACTACTTCAGTGTGGACCAGACCATGGACAGGCTCCCCATTAACATGAGTGATGAGGTCACCGGCACACAGGCCAGCTTCCTGGGCAGGACCGCCGTCCTCCACATGCTAATACACACAACACATCCAAGCTCAAATTCACATATATGTAAACATTCATATTATAGTATTTACATTTCAGACTTCAATCAATCCCAAGATGAGCCTGAACATTTTCAGTTCAGATGGCCCATATCTGTGTGCTGTCAGATCAGTAGATAATATCAGTGCACGCTTATTACTCTGAAAGTACTTGAACAGGAAGAGAGACCACATATTCAAATAGCTGGAATCTCCTCCTCTTCTGGAATCTGTTTCTTGTTTAATGCTCGTTGTTGTATGCAATGCAGACGCCAGACTACCCAAACACAAACCCAAAAGTCTCAGCACAAGACTCTCTTAATGTGAGCTCAGTGACTTCAGCTCCAGTACGAAACATCTGCAAACAGTTCCTACTAGTTTAAGTCTCTTACCCAAACAATGTGGTGCACGCTGTAAATATCACTGTCTCCAATGTAGACCCTGATGGCCCTGAGGGTGAAGCCGTACTTCTTTCCAGAGCGATGGATAGTAATGGGGGAACGCAGCACGCTGACTACAGGGCAGAAGTCCCTGCTGGGAGAAGAGTCGCGGGACGAGGGGTTGGAGGAGAACGAGTGAGGAGACATGGGGCTGGCCAACGGAGAGAAGCCACCATGCTGTTCCACTGGTAGCAGAGAGAGGGTAAGGAGAGAAAACAGATGCTGTATTATTGCGCCATAAATTAATATTTCCTAAAGGGTTTCATTCAGCTCTCTCCATGTGCCTCTCACCTGATGGTATAATGACAGACAGGGCAGTGGCAGAGGCTGACTTGATGACCTTGTTGCCAGGTCTGGAGTTGCGTTTCTCTCCATCACCAGATAGATGCTGATGGCGTGCCCTACGAAGGACCAGGTCATTGGTGGCCCGAGGCCCCAGAGGGTCATACAAAGGAGTCATCACATCACGAGTGGCTACAGCAGGACCAGGAGATAATGTAGTGATAGTCGTGGTAACACCTGGGGTCTCTCCGGGTTTAGGGGGCTTGTCTGTGAGGAAATTACAGCTATAAGTTTGAAACAGCACTAAAGAGGTGAAAATGACAATGCAATAGTAACTACCCACTGACTCAGCAGTAGCCATCTACAGTAATTACATACCTCCTACACCTCTTACCTCTTTGCTTACTCTGTCTGCTTTAGTCTTTATCACTTTCTCTATTGCCCTCTCATTCATTTCCTCTCCTCAGTCCTCACTACCAGCGGGACCTCCAGCTGCAACACACCTGCTCCGTTGATCTCTTTCAGACTGGCCCTCTGCTCCAGTAGGCTCGGTGAGGGAACACAAGTCCCATCCAGTGAGGTTCCACGGAGCTTGATGGTCACCTGGCGGGACAGGAAGTCTGGCTCAGCCTCTAGAGGTGAGGCAAAACGATGTGTATCCATCAGTGCTGAGAAGCGTCGCCGAGCACCCAGGGGAGGGCTTGCATCCCCCTCCATGTAGAGAGACTCTGAACAAGACAGGCGCTTCCTGCAAGACAGTGACAATGACCAAGTCACATAAGGTGATACAAACTGCGTCCTCTCTTACATCTGCAATGAGCTGTAGCTGCAAAAGGTGAGATAATACAGATACAGTAGTTCCTACTTGATATGTAAGAAGGGAAAATCCAATATGTAAGGTAATAAGTGATGAGTCACCTTCACTGTATCAATTTTTCTAAAATGATGAATGCAGAATGTATAAGCAAATTATTTTACTTTACGCCTGAATGTTCCGGATATACTTTCTAAAGATCAGGGTGAAACAGAGTTATGAGAAATAATAGTGAAAACAAGCAGCTTCATAACAAATCCAAACAACACTGACACATTACAGGCATATTGGGTTTCTGTGAAACATATGAACCATCAAAGCATTTCCATTCTCCTACTTTTCAAACTTGGGAGAGGTGGGATCTGTTGCCTGTTGCTGATTCAAAGTGAGTGTGAACTCTCACACAAGGTTCTTTTTATACAGCACGTGTTAAAATTGGTGTCAGCGAGACAAAAAGCAGTTATTCATGCACAGTGGGATATGTGACTGCTTGGCTGCTAAAAAAACCCAAAAGAAAACAAAACAAAAAACTTCAGGAAACCACCTTCTGAACATGCACAGCCCTAACTTATGTAAGAACACCTTACCACACTCGGCCTCTGAACCTCGCCATTTAGGAATCACTCACATCTCAGGTGATCCGGTCCTCCAGCTCTTGTCCCTCATGCTGAAGCTGCCCAGACTCTCTCTCTTAGTCACCTTGTCCTCCCGTGGGCCCTTGTGCTCCCGGCGGGACACAGAGGTCGTAGCTTTCTGCTCCAGCTGAGAGAGATGCTCCATGCTGCTGTACACCTGCAGGGGGACACAGTAAGGTCAATAATCCTTTGGTCTGTTGGCAGGTATAACTGCTCTGTGTAAATATTGCTGGTGAGACCAATTTCCAAGTTACAGCTGTATAATGCAATTGTCTGTGTAATTATTGATTTCAGATATAAGCCTGGTCTACCATATATTTTGGTCATAAAAGTTTATATCTAGCTTACAACAGCTGCATATGGATGCTCTATAGTAGGCCAGTTGATGTCATGTAGTAAATGTTTATTTGAGGGCATCAACCTTTAAAGTGTGTAGTAAAACTTACCTGGGTCTTTCTTAAGGAGCTTCTAATCTCCTGTACCTACTACTGCTCTGGTTTCCAATAGAGTTTTAATATTAAATGGAAAAAGTCTGACTTTTGCACATTGACAAAGTGAACATTCGGAATCCTTGTATTTTGGCAAGAAATAGTCAGTATTTATATACTGGCACTGTATAATGGCTACTGCAGGTCTTTACTTGTCCAGCCGGTTATAACCACATCTACAGTTCAGATGGGATTATTGCTTAAGTGATACAGCTGAGTCTGTTTGATTCTCAGTGACTGACATAGAGCTAAAATGTACTTTTTTAATGTAATTGATGAAAGATGTGGAATCATTTTAAATGGAAATGACAGTGTTGCACAGTATAGAAGCTGAATGAATGAATGACAGTGTCGTAAGACTTATGGAAGATACTGTACAATTAACTTTTTCTTTTTGGACTTACTGACTGTATTAGATAGATATATGTGTGTACTTTCACAGTAACAGTTTACATCTGTATCTATATCCAGCCACTTGTTTTTCTGTTTATTTTCTAATAAAACATACTGCAATATACATTGCCCGGCCACTTTATTAGTCACACCTGTACAATTGGATGCACTTCAATGCAAAACTTCCACTTCCCTTCAGAGGTGTTCCTAATATTCTGACCTTCTCATGTATGTAGCTGGGGAGACACCTCCAAGTATAATGTAGTCCAGTACATCACCACCTTTAACTATGACCTCAATAATAAACATATAATTGAATTTATACATTTATGACAATTTCACCAAATACTGAAACAATATGAGCTTCATAAACACAGATAAGGTGGAAGTGTTGCAAAGAATTGCATATGTAACCGGCGGAACAGGCGTACCTAATAAAGTGACTGGGCAATGTACATACCAGAAAAGCTCAATTCAATTCATATTTATTTGTATAGTGCCAAATCACAACTAAAGTAATCTCAGGACACTTCATAAAGTAAGGTCTAGACCCTACTATTGTCACTATTATTATAGGAGCTCAGTTAAGAGTTAAGATCTTGGTTAAGAATCTTTGTGTATCATCTTCACATGCACACCATTTAACGTTACCCACCAGTCTCAACAATAGATCCAATATGCTTCTTTGTACATTCACAGGAAAATAAACTGACTCCCATTAATATGTGTATGACTTAAAACATGGCAAAACAGACAAAAGGACACAAGAAATATGACACACGACACTGAAAATCACCATAGCTTGTATGTGTTCACCATGTGTGAGCACTGTCCACAAAGACATGCACACAGTTGCACTGTAAGGCTCCCATTGTGTGCAGAGTAAGGCACAGAAAAACTAAGCTGTGTGGAGGAGGACAACAAGATGAGCTAGATTAAAGGAAGCAGCGCACCATGGAAACAAGTATCAGCTGAAGACACAGCTGTCTCCTCCGGAGGAGGAAAACCAAAACAATAACAACAGCCAGAGCCAGCTTCTTACTTTATTTCATTTAAGAAACATCACAACGCTGTAAATTAATTTGATAAAAAAATAAAGCCGCTGTAAGCGCTGGCCAATTACTTATACAGTGTTAGTTTGCTTCAAATTTTTGTTTTGAAGTGAGATTATTTGTTGTAAACCCTTTGGGATTTTAGAATCTCACATGCACAAAGGAGACGTGCACTTCCTCTTTCATTCCTTTTACCACCCAATTACATCCTTGTTTGTTAAGTAGTTTGATTCTATATGAATGAAAACCATTGCTTCTATGTAGTACGTCCTAAACATAAGCCACAATCAAATACTAAAAAAGATATGGCAGAAGTAATAGGTGAGTTGATATTAAATGAGCTAATACCTTAAAACATTATGGCCCTGCTGTAGTAATAGCCAGGAGAAGGAATAATGAGACAAATGTTCATGAAGTGTCTCAAAAAAGCATGTGGGGACATTCACATTACAAGTAAACATGCTGTACCTGTAGTATATAACACCTTCTAGGTTTATCAGTGAACTTTGCTGAATAAATTTACTGGTTTGACGACAAAAGTTTGTCTTTGAGACCTTATTGTTTAATTTCTTGTTAAACATTGTGTCTTTTAACATCTTGAGATACTGAAAAAAGTAACACATTTGCCAAGTTATCCCTTTCATTCTGTGCTTTTCAGATACATCGATACAGGCCCATCTCTAACAATTACTGTAACTTCATTATCAGTTAACCTGCTGATTATTTTCTTGAATAATCACTTATTCAGGTGCAGCTGTGCAAATAATGCAATTCGCCACAGGATTCAGCAGGCCCGCTTTATTCACTTTACTGAAAAGTCACTGTCACAACGTTCCAATGTGACATTATTAAACATCTTGTTTTTCCTTAACCAGCAGTCCAAAACCCAAAGATATTAATTCCACAACTAAAACAACAAATCTTCACAAGCAGTTAGGCTGCTGCATTTATTAATAAATCAACTAATCATTGCAGCACAGACCTCATTATGTGGGTGCATTCAGCAGAGGTCTTTGTTCACATGCTTTGCTTGACTAAGGCTGCTAAACAGCCCTTAAACTCTATTTTCAAAAACATCTCATTTAATTGAAATAGGCTCCGCACTGAGGCATTTTCATTTTACTGAAGCGCTCCTTCACAACCTCACGACCCAAACATGTGAGGATGGACCAGATGAGACACGAAGGAAAGCAGATGGAAAGACAGAGTGAGGGTGAAAGTGAGAAGGAGAGAATAAAGGTGGGGGAGTGGAGAGAGGGGGGAAATCCCACTCGGAGGAGAAGCGTGACAGAAAGAACACACTGGCACATAGAGAGAGAGAGAGAGAGAGAGAGAGAGTCACAGATCAGAACCTAATCTAAATGAAAGGCCGGGTCATTAAACATACATCTGCAGACTGGATAGGGGCTTCCGTTTTAAAGGTACAGTAGATGGACTTGAGAGGCTTGAAATAGAAACCAAAGGCAAGAAGACTACGAGGGGACAGTGTTACAACAGCCCAATTAGAGTGTTTGAACTCCAGGCTTGAGACCTGAGCCCAGCCTCCCGGTGACACTTTCTGAACAGTATGACCTCATTTTAGTTTTTCTCCTTCCTCATCTACTCCCTTCAAATAGTCTCAAGTGCCAAGTGATTGAGTGTTTGTGTGAGAAAATAAAACAAGTTGACATAATGGGGAGAAAAGGGAGAACAGAATAAGTGAGTGTGAGAAACAGATGAAAGAAGAAAGGATGCTAGAGAGACAAAGTCAGACCTTGCTGAAGCGAGGAGAGCAGGAGGAAAACTGTCTGATCTCCACCGGCTCATCGTCATTGGTGTCATCCTCGTCGTATGTATTGATGTGGTGATAACGATCTGAACGGGCTGGCAGAAGAGGGAGGGAGGGGGGAGAGAGAGGAGGTAAGATATATGAGCTGTTGGTTCAAAAGAAAAAGTGCAGTTCTGCCATTTCTGGCATGGCGGCAGAAAAGTTATTGTACAATTCATACACCTAATATTGATGGAACAGATGTGTGTTACACATAATTCCAGACACACATACTATCAAAGTAGCTGGTGTCCTCCTCTGACTCCAGGTGTGGGATGAATTCCGCCTTCTGTCTCAGTATACTGTTCCAGTCCAGCTCAGTGAAGAACGAGTGCTGCTTCACCTCAAACGCTCCACCTGGTGGCAGGGGCACAAACACAACCACCTGTCAGGTTCATGCAACAGTATGGGCTAAATCTCAGTTCCCTTAATTGCATCCATGTTTCCCTCATTTGCATCTTTTCCTTGTGTTTTAGTCCCGTCCCCGTAACATGCAAGGAAAAGATGCAAGGCTACAATAGCGAGGAGAGAGGAATCAAGAAAACATGTTTTAAGAGACATGAGACGTCTTTTCCTTTCATACTTCATCTGACATGTCCAATCACAAACTGACATCCAATAAATGGTCGTGTCAGTCTACAAAAGACTTCCAGGAAAGATGCTCTCATGTATTCTTACACATGGCTCTCCCAGACAGCCTGGGCAGGCTTTTGGGTTGAGTGAGGATCGAGGAGCAAGGAACAATCAAACAAGGGACCTGGGATTTACCCATGGAGTGAAAGCTAATGATATATTTGTAGAATGCAGAGTTAATTTCAGGGTGTGACATAATTGCCAAGTTTTCTACATAGTGTTAGGAAAAGTTCTCATTAGAGGAACAGTTTGCCATACTGGAAAATACTAGTAATGTGGGATACTACTCATTTTCTGTTCCCATCCGATACCCATGCTGGTATCACCAATACCAATACCGATACTACAAGAAAATGACAAAGGAAAACATGGGTCTCGACAACAAAGAATGATGGAGAAGAGAAGTAATAAGGCATATTTATAATGGATGTCTGCTTTTATTAACAACATATGGTGCCACCCTGGTCACTTTACTGTGAAGGGACATTTTTCTAGTCAGGACATTGAACTGTAGCCTTGGGACAACGTCCATACTGCATACCCAGGAAGCTTTCACATGCTATCATACATGACATCCACTCTGTTGCCATCAGACTCCAGACTGCACCTCAGTGCTTTCATGTTTTTCTTGCAATGTATTGCATTCCTTGTATTCTTGTTTAATTATAGGTCATAACTTCCACAATCTTGTGCAACCACTGCGTAGCAATGTCCCTGTGAAGATTAATAAATATTTTCTTATTCTTTAGTGGCTCATGCATTTTCAGAGCCATAGTTCGCATGTGACTATGACAGGCAGAAGGAGAAGTAGTTCCTATCAGCTGGGTAGACTGTCCTGGTGATAACTTTATACTGTGTCCCCTTCTGATGATAAAAGGCTGCCCCAAATTACTGAGTTGATATATCAATCTTTTACTAGAAGAATCGATACTGGAACAGGAAATGCTGGGATCGAAGTATTGATATTCCAGGATTGGTCTGGACATCACTAGAAAATTAAGTGAAAGTTATCACTTTCATGTTATATGAAGATCAACGCTGCTCTAATGATTGTTCCTTAAAAATGAAGCTACAGACTGCTAGCCTAGCAAATAACTGGAAACGGGGAAACAGCTTACTTGGCTTGTCAAAAGTAAAAAGGTAGTCTCACACATAACCACACTTAAAACTACAACTTCTTGCTTTTACACTTTTATATGGATTAAAGAAATGTGCTGGTACAGTGTGGAGATTCTCTTGTTTTCACACACAGCCAGGCTAAGCTAAACCAACCAGCTGCTGCTGTAGCCTCATATCCAGCAGACAGACCTTAGAATGGTAGAGATGTTCTCAGCTACCTTTCATCAGAAAGACAAATAAGCCTTTTACCCTATAATATCAAATTGTTTTTATCCTACTTTGTATCCTCAGTCTTGTTGCCAAATGGATATAGATAGTATGTCTAAAGTCAAGTAAATACAAATGCAGGTACCTGTACCCAACCTCACAAGAGGGTTGGTCTGCAGCAGAGCAGAGATGAGGGCCTGGGCATCCGCAGGCAAGGCGTCATCACCATCTGGCCAAACTATATCATCTAACAGAGACAGAGCAAAGGGTCATAGTAACGTGGCAGAAAGAAACAGCTCCATTTTGAAGTAGTTTCCAAGATGGCAAATCACAGCCTATGGCAAACTGCTGTAAAACTGCCATTAATACTTGCATCAGGGGGGAAAAAGCATTTTAGTTGGAGCAGTATTTAAAATCTTATGGCCTAAATATCTCTGCTCAGGCTACATCATATGCATGCATGGCACCAGACAGTTTAGAAGGAAGAGTAATGTTTTATTAATCTTTAAAGCATATACACTGTGGTTTCTAAACTCTGTGGTAGTCTGAAAGTCTTACTAACGTAGAATGAGCAATTACTATAAAAGAAGAGTCTAGTGGTTTGATTTTGATTGCTAAAATGTGCAGTTTGAGAGTCTTCAAAAAAGGGTAGAATATTATGAACGTTTACTTCTACTTCCTCACCTGTAATGACCTGTCCGAACAGCTCCTCAGGAGTGTCTCCAAAGAAAGGCACACAGCCCACCAGGAACTCATACAGAATGATACCCATAGCCCACCAATCCACCGGCTTCCCGTAGCCTTGACGGAGAATCACTTCTGGAGCGATGTACTCTGGAGTACCACATACCTTAGTGATGCAGTGAAAGAGGAAGCAAGGCAGGCAGAGTAAGACAGGAAAGTAAGGGAGTTACATAATCCAAATTCTCCACATTAAAGAACATTGATTGTAAACAGTTTTCCACACACACTCTTTTACTGTAAGTACCACTTTATCAAAACACAAAAATCACTTTTGTCCCACTTACCTCTAGTTGTATGCGGGTGTTCAGATCTGAGCTCCACCACTCCAGTACAATAAAGATAAGCTTAACATTGTCAGTGGTGCTCAAAGAAAATATCAAAAATAGGGGCATGTGGCTGAGGTGCATACCAAAACATCCAGGGTTCGATTCCCAGCCGGGGAGCCTCTGTCATAACAGCCCTCTCCCTCTGACTTTGTTTCTTGTCGCTCTCTACGCTTTTAACTTTTGCAAAATACCCCCAAAAAGCAAATCATCTCTGCATATGCAGTACCATGTCAGCACAAGGCAATCACTTTACGGTGAGTGACTGAAAACCGATAACGAGGTTTGCGGACACTGTTTTTGAACAGAGACACAACCTTTAAGTAATTTTTGTTTTAAATGCTATAAACTCCAGAAGTAATTGTCCTGGGTGGGGGGAGAAGTTTTAGTACCAAAGATTTAAAACCCAGATAAAACTTTAGTTATTTACACATCAAGATGTGTTTTGTGAACTGGTCCTTTAAAACTAGACGCTGTAATGTGGAAACTGTGCCGTCAGTTTATCCCCTCTGCTCTGTTCTCTCAGGAGAGTGAATGTAAAATGAAAGCACTTGTGAGTCTCCCTCTGTGTGAATGGTTACACATGTTTTTGTCGTCTTGCACAACAGAGACATCGTTATTGACTGAATGAGAAATTCTTCACTAATCAGCATCTCCACCAGAAACCTGAAAAGACAAGCCCCGGTCTCCCTCATCTGCAGATGTGAGGTGATTACTGGCTGACAAACAGATGCCCGCTCCCACCCAGAAGAGCTGGAGGAGACACAGGCCAATCTGACTGATTACAACTAGTTTAATTCAAATCATAAACAATAATTGCAAAATGGTATTGTGATGGAGATGAAGAGCATTAACGAGTCACTAATTCAAAGTACACAGGAAGCTTTGTAATGCAGTGTGTTCATCTGGAGATTAATGATTTCACCGATGACTTGGCAGGTTGGCACGCATGGCTGGAAAAGGCTGTTGTGAGTGACAGTCATCTGTGCAGCCACCATATATCAGATCTTAGAATTTCACTAATTCTGCACTGCATACAACCTCATTCATACAGTTGTTAATTAAAATCGATCTGTCACCAGCCTTTCTTCCTTTATATATGGGTGGATAATGTACTGCACTTAATGTCCAAGCTGGTATATATCCAGGGTACTAGGTAATAAGTACAATACCTGCTTGTCCAGGAATTCTCTGGCATCTTTCTCAATGTGTCCCTCATACAGGTTGGTGGTGAGGCTCATTAGACCCATCTTTGACAAGCCAAAATCTGTGAGCTTGATGTGGCCCATGGAGGTGATCAGGAGACTATATGAAGTGAGGAAACAGGGGTTTAACTTTTAACAGCTATTAGGTTCAAGAATACACCTTTTACAGATTGTATTAAAACAGGGTTTTCAACTAGCTGTGACCCAGGGACCACCATTCTGACTAGGAAGTAACTCAAGGACCGCTGTTGTGGGGTGGCTACATCAGAGGGGCACAAATATAATCCTGAGAGTCACCTTGGCTTTTCTTAATTGTATATATTTGCAGGAAATTGATTATTCGCAAACAGTTGGAAATACATAGAAATGTGTTTTTAAACTACATTACTGAATGCATGATCAGGGACCACCTGCAATGCTTACATAGACCAGCAGTGGGCCACGGACCACTGGTTGAAAACCCCTGCATTAAAAGATAATTCAAATTCCTTTTTTTGTGATTGGCCACTGTGATGACTTCCATGACAGCAGATGAAAATTTTAAAACAGCATCTAATTATTTCTTTGGCAACCTGAGGGCAGCAGAACAAGCTGTTAACACGACACTGACATAGCATTATCACCTTATGGTTGTTTGCCTGTGAAGTACGTGAACGTGTTGGCAAACACTTAACTAAACATTTGTTAGACATGTTGCAACATTAGCATTCATTTGCATCCAAGTCCATCTTTTACTCTCTTCTAGCTCAGTGTTGGTCTCCACCAGCTTCTGGGGGGAATATCTGTCTCTTTAGCTGCTGGCACTTAGTTGCTAACTCTGCCTGTCTGCTAGCCAGGTAGTGCACATTCAGTTTAGCACAGTGGTTTTTGTTTTTTGTTTTTGTTTTTTTGCTGGGTAAAGCTGCATCTGTAAAAAAGGGTGAATGGAGTGAACCAAAGGAAAAAACCATTGAACCAAAACAATAAGCTGAAAAATGCTAAAGCGCTTTCCAGAGATGAGGGAAAATGTTGGGGGGTAATTCTCTCTTGTTAAAATAAAAACACTTTGAGTGCAGCTTCAGACACTCACTTGTCAGGTTTTAGATCTCTGTGGACGATACCGTAGTTGTGCAGGTACTCCAGGGCTAAAACAGTCTCAGCAAAGTACATCCTCGCCAGCTCAACAGGAAGAGCGCCGATGTTCTTCAACAAAGTGGCACAGTCACCACCTACATACAGAGAAACACCACAAGTCACAGCTACTGTAAGGTGAGCAAGGAGTTTCAGACAAATGGTACTGAAAGTCTGAGGGATTACCTAGTGATTCATAGTAACTGTATTTTTATTTATATAAACATTTTAAATGTTGTGTTTCTGTTATTTTTTTAGGCCTGTGATCCACCTTTGCTCCCTTTGCTCCACATTTGTTTGTGTCATCATACATCAGTGACTCATCAAGACTGCCCTTCATGCTTCAGTGTGTCTGTGTAGCAACAGAGGATCCACTGCAGCCAGAGCCTTGCCACCACCCTGAGCTATCCTCCATGGCATTCAGTAAAACCAGAGAGAAAGATGAGTAGGAGCAGCAGTGTGACCCTACTGACCTTGTTTGATTTTTATGGTGGAGAATCACTGTGCTAGAGTCTCATCAGATTACACCGCACTATATACTATCATTTTCCTGAATGTGTCATATATGATTTAGGCACAGGGGGTAACAAGAACAGAGCAGATGACAAACATCATTAGATATTCAGGTGTGTACCTAACGCTTTTATCCAGAATTAAATAAATGAGGTAGAAAAGTTGAATGAACTTAAACTCCAAGATCATTCCCACTACAAATAAAAGTAGTTAGGACTGGAAAGGTTGGAGCCACAGCAGCAGACAAGATTTAAGGGAAGCAAACCATGACCTAATTTGGTGAAGATCATTTCATGGATGCTTAAAAAGTGTGGGATCAGGAAAAAGGAGCTTGGGAAAAAAGGCTGAGAAACATTGTTGCTCTTTTACAAACCAGACAGAAAACTGAACTAATGTTTTCTCAGACTCCTGACGCAGAGAAAGGAAGGGCAAACAAAGCTGGAGAAGTCACTCACTCAGAGTGGGTCCATAAATCATAAACATCTTTTTAATCTCAGTCCACACTCAATGTAAGAAGTCTGCAGGCAGTGTGCCAACAAAAACCCAGTCGGACTCCCTTACCCTCAACATATTCCATGACCATGCATAGATGTCGCCGCGTTTCAAAGGAGCAGAACATGGAGACGACAAAGGGGTTCTCTGCAAAGGTGAGGATGTCTCGTTCCACAAACGCTTGCTGGATCTGGTTCCTCAGGATAAGATTCTGTTTGTTGATCTTCTTCATGGCAAAACGCTGTCGTGTCTCCCTGTGCCGCACCAGGTAGACAGCACTGGAAAAGAGCCAAGACTGATAACCTGAAGGCACTACTGTAGTGGTGTTACTGTGACGTGGGAATGGACAGATAGTAGTGCAGACACAACAGCTGCAATCCTCTCATTTCTGATCCACCAAAGCCAGCTTTAGATAAACTGAAAATCTTTTAAAAAGCAGGAGCAAATGCACTGATCCAGACCAAACAGAGACATTACACATTACTCTTGGTCTACTGGATGAAAACCTGTTTTATGTGAGCATTGTAATTTTATGTCCTCCAGTAACATACATTTAAAACCAAAACTCAACAAAAATAATAACATTTAATCAATCATAATGTTAAAATATACATCGCTGTTGCAGTTTCATCACTGTCGGTGACAAACTGCAACAGCTGAAATCAAAGGTTCCAGATAAAGTTTGCAAATGATCCTAACTAAGGTTATTTTTATTTTAAATATTGTATAATTGGTTGCAGGTTCAATGAGATTTAAACCAGTTGCTTACCCGTATGCTCCATTACTAATCAACTTGATGGTCTGAAAGTCTTCTTCACTTGGTGGCTTGATGACTTTCCCCTTTCCCTGGAGACAACATTTGAAAAATTTAATTTCAAATCACCACAAAGATTGGTTAGATTCAATGTCAAAATCCTTAAATGCCAGTGTTTCCTTGATGATTCTCTGTGTATGTGTTTGTAAAATGCTGTGTAAATGTAGACATATTGCATGTGATTACATGAAAACACACATCTGTCTGCGTGACTGTTTAATCTTCACCTCTGCTGAGTCATCTGTCTCCGGAGTATGCGGACCCTCACTATCATAGCTGTCAAGGCTCACGATTTCTGTTGAGAAACATGTTAGTGCACAATCAAATTTGGCGTCAAACTGAAGATGGACAGTTCTCCCGCTGAAAACACCAGGCCTCCCACGCTGCTGTGAGCAGACGAAAATCTGCAGATGCTCAAACATCTTTAACAAAATAGCTATTCAAGTTTCAAAGCAACCGAAGGGCCAAACAAGTCAAACCACAGAAGGAAAAACATTAGAATTACAATAGCTTCTTCCTATTAATTTTGCTTGTCTCCTTCAGCTCTCCCTCCCCCTCAAATTGTACACTATGCCTCCTTGAGCAACGCAGGCAGCTAATTTTCAGTGTTTTTGCACTGTTGTATGAAACAGCTGCTAGAATAGGCTGATAATATTGCTGAAGCAGGGAAATGATTGAATGATGATTAACTTTGGAAAGAGTTTACAAAGCCACTCTGTAGATAGGTTCATTTAAAACGAAAGCCCCTGAGTGGAGGGTCACACATTCTGTCAACTGTTTCTACGGAGGAATCAAGAAAAGGTGGTGTGAGAGTGTGGATGAGCGAGCAGCTGTGTGGGTGTGCATTTGTGTCTGTGCATGACAATGTAGGTGCTAGTGCAAGTGTGAGATCAAGCTATCAAGTGGCACATTCTTCTTAGCAGAGATTCACTGAGAGAGACATAACATGCCCATATTTCTCATGAATTCAAAAATAAACCCGCAGCAGATTATTGTGAAGAGTCATTCCGGGCCATTTAACCCATAAACTAATGAACAGCTCTTGATGGATTAGACTGGGAGCAGCTGAGCAGATGTGAATTAGAATTGAGAGTTTGGGGTCTGAGCCACGATGATTAAGCAAAGACAGTGATGCCGCTGCACCACCAGCCAGCAAATGATCCAGTCAGTCCAGACTCTACATTGCAATAAATATCCTCATCCTGATCATCCAGTTAAAGCCATTCAGTATCTGACACTGTGGGCCTCCATAAGACAAAACTGAGGCAATTATGCTGCCGGATGCAATTTTAAAAACTGTTTTCTTGATTTTTGTTTATATAGTCCCAAGCTTTCAACACTTTCATACTGCACACTGACTTGGCGGCTAACCCTGGTTTGTTTCAGCACAAAGACATGGGTGATTCCTCTGTGTAGAAATAACACATTTAAATTAATACATTCTTACATATTCCTGGTAACTGGTAAACTCTGATGACTTTTTAAAAACATTTTTATCTCTTACCCTCCAGTGGATCTCTGGTCAGCCCCAGCTGGCTGATGATGTATCGAGGGATGTCCGCCTTCATCAGCTGACCCTCCTTAGCGTGATCCTCCGCTGCCTCCAGCAGATGGTAAAACTCTTCTGGGTTGAACTCCTGTCATTGGAGGAAAGATATGACAAAGCAAGCTATTTTATAAATGCATCTTAATGCTTAAACCATCATAGGTATTTGGATATACCTATAATAATACTGCTATACACAGAAGCTGAAGTAACAGGCTGAACAGAAGGTAGAGTGTGCAGCACAGCCACATTATCACTGTTAATTAACACTCAGCAGTGAAACATATTCCAGTTCATAACAACAGTTTTAACACCCTTAGAGAAGTAATATGGCCAGTGCCGGGGCCACATCACCTGTAGAAGGGAATAAAAAGATACTAATCAGCTCCTGTCCACACCTGAGACACACACACAGGAAATCAACAGCTTTTACTGAGGTGTTTGATGTGTAGGATTACAAAAGGGAACATCTGTCCCTTCCTCTGCAATATCTCCTTGATTCTCAAACAAATTTCCAGGGGAGAAAAGCTTAGAAGGGACTGAATGATTTCAAACACTTGAAGATGTCATAGTCCCAGGTAAGACTGGTAAATTGTGGATGACTCATGATATCAAACCTTCATTATATTTTAACTACAATATGATAATGATTTCACTATGATACAGGTATAATCAGAACATAGTTGTAATCAAAAAGGAACATATGCCACTAAGCCCATTCACAGCCCCCATTTCAGAATCTAAATAATTATCATTTTAATTGTCAGTTAATCTACTGATTATTTTTTCAGTGAATCAATTCATTGTTTGTGAATAGTGAAAATATTTCCATCAGTTTCCCATAGCTCAAGATGCTTGTTTGTCCAGCCAACAACTAATCCAAAGATATTGAATTTACTTTCACAGGAGACGACCCAGAAAATATTTCCATGAGATGCTGGAAACAGTGAATTATAATTATAGTTAATTATAACAATTGCTGTCAATTAGTTTCCATGTTGGCTGACTAACAATCAACAAATCATATTAGCTTTACCTACATTTATTTGGTGTTCTATGCACTGATCAGCTTTCTAATTCACAGATTTATGTAGAACTCATCACTAAACAGGACTAAACCTGCCAACGCCTGAAGTGCCAGTAACCAGAACAGTTCAGAGTTCACATGCCAGGAAAGGACAAAACAACCTCTGGTTAATATCACATCAAGCCTTTCTTGATATTGGCATCAGTGTATTGATTGCAAAGAAAACTGATCACATTAAACCAAAATACTAATTATTTTTCTTGGTACTACAGTCAGGTATTGAACCATGATCACTAATTTTCTAACTGGCAGTAACAAAGTGATGTGATGACAGTGGACAAATAATGATAATAATAATGAAAATAATGTTAATCAAGTCAAATAAAATGTTGCACTGCTTCAGGCCACATACAGTAAATATATCAACTTCTAATCACAAAACTAGAACTGACTTCAACCTGCTGCAGATTCATGACCACACACCGCTACAGGGCTGTCAAACAGACACAATCAGTGTTAATACACCTCCCAACTTTAAATTGCTTTCTTGAAAACCTCCATTTTCCACTGAAACAGCTTAGTGTGGTGTCATGTGGGATTTGGTTTCATTCCTATTGGTGAAATAACATTTTGATTAGAAAGCACAGCCTGGGGCAGCCAGGCTCATTTCCTCCCTCCCCTGCTCTCCCTCATATCTGCTCCCCTAGACCAAAGAAAAAAGAGAGTGTACGGAAAAGGGGAATTAATCTGGCCCTCTGATAGCTTGCGCTGTTGAAGGATAATATTCGGCTAACAGCCGACTGACTGTGTGACATTTTCACCAACTTCGACCTCACAGCTGACTTGAATGCTAAATGAACTCTATGGCCGCGGACAACATTTTATCTTTGTGTGTCTTCTCCTCTCCATCCTGAGGGCCATGAGGATCTGAAGTCCTCTCCACATCCCGCTTGACCTTATCGACTTCTTGGGATGGTTGCCTTGGCAACAGAAAGATGAAGCGCGACTCTTGGAGGAAGGACCATGCCAATTACGAACATGGGAAGCCATCAATCAGTGAGCTCATACTGAGGTGTGGCTAAGCCTCCTGTGTGTACTGCACGGAGAGACTTGTTATCGCTAAGTAATTTGTGCAGAGTTATGTTCTCTATGTATAACATGCCAAGGACACTGCTCTGTGTCCCAGCTGATTCGATGTGCTGCCGAGTAGACCTGACTGGAAGTGGAGGTGGAAAGAATATTCTACAGTTTCGAGTTAAGTTGGAAAAATACCCCATGGCGATGAGCTCTTACTCTGTTGTTGCAGAGATGTGCAGCATGTCTGATGTACTGAATGACAGCTCAAAAAAAATACAACCTCTAAAGCATATTACAACACATTCATACAGCCACATCTCATGCATTAAGAATGCTGAAGGTGAAAGTACATTTACTGGAAGCAAGTGTACATTATGAGCCATTTGTGAATAGTAAAAATGCAACAGAAATGCAGAGGTGAGGTAAAGAGTAAAGTTTCAGCATCTTCTAACTGATTTATATGCTCTGATTTAAATTTGCTATCTCTTTTAGGATTAACAGCAGTTTCCAGCTGTGACACACTTAGCAAACTTGTGTTTCATCACTTCAGACTGTGTGCTCAGTAGACACCGTGCCCCACTTCTGTTCATTCTTTAATACTATTGCAGCCTGAAGGAATCGACTCCCCAGCTCCATGTGGGAGGACAGAAGAGTCTCCTGGCAGATGAGGGAGAATACACGCAGAATAAAAAGGCCCTTGTCACCTGTTTCAGTAAATGCTCATTTGGTGGATCTGTTAAATATCATCTGGACTTGTTTAACGTTTAACAAAATACAGGCCAAACTCTTAGATGGTGATGTTAAACTTACCAAACACTCCAGGAGTCTGGCAGGACGAGATATGATGATGAAGAGTTTTTTGACCAGCTCAGTGACAAAGGTGAGCTCTGAGCTCTCTGAGCGCTCATAGGCCTGATGGAGAAAGAGACAGATTTGTGTTTGAACAGATACAGCAGACATCACTACGCTTCCACAACTCAGGGAGGCCTCAACTCACGTTATGCAGCAGCTTCTCCAGGTTCTCCTGCAGTTCACAGAAATAAACACTGGTAATGAGACCCTCGCGTGATTTGGTCAGGCAGTCTCTGGACAGTTCAGCTACCTGGTGGTGAATGAAGCTGAGGACCCCATCAGCCAGTGGCAGAACACTCTCTGGGGAGTAGTTCTGGATGAACTCTGCCAGCCTCTCCTCCATCTGAGCAGTGGCCTGATCAAAGACAAAAAAATCAATTAACAGCCAGTTACTGTCAGGTTGTCAGGCTGGTGTTGACAGCATAATGTAATCATGCATCACAGACTTCAGTGAACTGTGCTCAGCTAATCTGAATGATGTTTTGAATACATATAAATTTCTTGGTGGATAACTAAAGGGCAACACAAACCTACACCTGCTCTTTTCTATGGATACCCCACTATCAGTGACATCTTAAAGAGGGCCTTCTTGGTGTTTCCATCAGGATGCATGACTGTCCTATTCCCAGCGCAGCAGGGACTTTATCACATTAGCTCATGATGCTGCCAGTGCACTGTGCATTTCTATAGTCTTTTGGAAAGGCTTGCAGCAGTCTAATGGGTGCTGACAAAATCTGCTATAGATAGAATCACTTCCTTGTGACAAATGTTTGAAAAACATGACATTATCAGAATTCAGGCTCCATTAAGCAACCACTAAACACTTTTCTACAGGAGCTGGTAATGACTCTCTTATAATAATGGCAAGGACACAGCAATGTTGAAGCTTCATTCACAGTCATGGGGAGTGTGCAGCAGTATGTGGTTAGATTTCCCATTGCTTCACATTGCATCACTGTGAACAAGTACAGGATGATGGTGTGTGTATGCATCTTACATTATCTGGCATACACTTGTCTGTTTCAGACACTGAGTCATGTATATAACACATGCAGACAGTGTTGAGTTACAGTTTGATTACATGATGGAGCAAGATATGATTTATTTTGTGCTTATGATCCCTGATAGGTTGAATCTAATGTCTCAGCAATGGCTGACTTCAAGTTCTCACACTGCAACAGCTTAACAAGAATGTTATAATAAATAACATATCCCTGTCAGACCTCTGACTAAAAGTTGTTTTTATGTTATACGTCAGAGGGAGCCTCATTCAAAGTAACAAAGACACAGAAGTACAGAGAAGACTGCTCAGTGCAACAGATGTGTGCATGAGGGAGTGTCTCAACACACTTTGTCATTGTCAGAAACTGGCATAAACAACACATATTGAAGAACTGACCAAAAAAATGCTTTATCCTTAACTTTCATTTTAAGACAAAGGAAAGACATCTGGCTTTTATGTACTATCTAAAACTAAATGTGTTCTAAAAGGTGGTTGATTAGCTGTTCGCCCTCTGTGACACTAACGTTAGTGCTGCTTCTTGCAAATGATAACCAATTACAACTCACTCTAGGTAAATATTTTCAAATTGCATTCAAAATGAATTCATGTCTAGCTAAGGAGGTGGTCGTTGCCTGTATGCTCATTGTTTGTATGCATATTTGATGTGTGTGTGGATGCACAGTTTATACTGTATGTGTTTGTGTACAGCCGACCTTGGGGAAACGCTCCTTGTAGACATGGTTCATCATCACTATTTCATTGTCATAACATGATGGGGAGCGCCCAGGGCTGCAGGGAGACAAACACAGAGAGAAGGAGTGTAGTAGACAACGCTGACTGAGAAAACCAAAGAAACCAAGACAGAGTGAGTGGGGACAATATTCTGTATTCTCACTTGAATGAACAAATAAATCACTGCTACTCCTCATGTGCATCCTGCCTGTATATCATGCTAATCCACCAATCAGATATTCCGCATGCTCTGTTTCTCTAATGACCTGCATGTCACATAACACTCCTCCATCACATGCACGACAGGCAAGGCAAAGTCGACATATGGCTGAGAAAAAGCACATAAAACCCTTAAATACCTCTATTCTACAGCAACACATCCTACTCTGAATTAGACATTCACAAACAATAATCGTATTACATACCGTACACACAATATAGCTATACAAAAAGGTGAGATATCAGTGATGATAACGAAGCACGTCAGGGTACAGGAAAGAGGCGTTTTGTATACTGAAGCCATAAGACGGGATAAAATATAGGCCAGCTACCACTGAGCAGCTTAATATGAAAACCTAATACTGATAAGTAGTTAGGGCATGTTGTTTCCAGAGGGAAGGCTATAATAGGTGTGGCTGGATGAAGTGTACACAGGAGACCTCTACTAATAGAGAAACGGCAGCTCTCTGGAGACGCCCAGAACGCTGAAGGGGGGGACTGCTACTGGTATAATAACAGTAGTGGAACATACCCTAACCCTAAGTACTTTTATTCAAATAGTGGGCTACAACTTTGAGGTATTTGTGCTGTACTTGAGTATTTCAGAATTAGAATCAGCTTTATTGGCCAGGTGTGTTGACCACAAGAGGCATTTGACTCTGGTACAGTGGCTCTCAATGTTTACAATGTTATTCTGAAAGGCAACGAGTAAACAAGATAAGACTGAGAGAACAAGAAAAGAAAAAGAAAGTGCAAACAAGAAAAAGGAATGTGCATTCGGAAATAAAAATAAAAATAAAGTAATGTTGAAATATATATATGCACAGTTTAGATGCAGTTTTCCAGATAAATATACTGTATATATACTAGAGTATATTTACAAGGTATTGCACTGAGGGTTGTTGTTCTGTTATACAGTCATGGATTAAGTGTTCATCAGTGTGATGGAAAGAAAAAAACTGTCCTTGTGTCTGGTTGTCTTGGCGTACAGTGACCTGTAGCGCTGCCCAGAGGGAAGTAGTTCTTCCTAAAGTCCACTGTTTTGAGCGTGTTCAGCTCAAGGTTGTTGAGACCACACCACGGTGCCAGCTATTCAACCTCCCCTCTATCTTCAGTTACCTTCTATCTGTAGTCCAGCATAACCCAGATGTGCATCTATGTTTATTGTGTCTTTACTGCTTGGAACTGCAGAGAACCTGCCATAAAACAGTTCTTGAACTGAGACAGACCCACAGCTGGTAATGTTTTCATTACAGTGCTGTTTTTCCTGCTAAATAAATCAGTGAAATGAAATGAAATATTTTAGATATGCTTTGGTAAATGGTAAGTGTTATTAAATAGCCTCAAACCAACCATATGCTAGTCAGTGTCTCAAAACTTTCCAACTATACCTTCATCTGTGGGTCTGAAATACACTGTCACTGAAAGCATACATCTGTAAAAGCAGGGCACAAATATATCATATCATATATGAAAAAGGCTCTGTAATTTCCTAAAAAAGCTGGTAACTGTAGTTTTTAGCAAGCATGACTCAAACTTGAGGAAAGAAAGGATTTATTGGGATGATTTTCAGCTTCTGAGGCTATATTTAGTACTACTGTATATTTAAGGCAGAGCTCTCTTACTGTACAAATGAGTTATATCAGGACATAAAGGGAATGGTTATTGTTTTCATGGGATTTGTTGACCAAAATACAGAATATCACCAACCTTGTTCTTACAAAGTAGTTCAAAGCGGCTCCCCATTGATCCTACTCAAACATTAAACTGCTATGTACACATGAGTCCATCAGTAATTATAATCCACTAATATACTTTATACTGTGCTACTTCTAGAAAACATTAATAATTCTTCTGCCATGTTTATTACAGTTTTTCTGAATTGCTCTAACATGTTTCTTGAAACCACCATTCATTTTCTCAAAACCTTAAACACAAATCCAAATATTCAGACTAAATTCCCAAAACCTCTGACTCTTCTGGCAAAATCAAACAATTGCTTCAAAACCATTTCACCAGCACTCAAAATCAAACAATGCTCATACACAAATGAGTCAATCATATACACACTGCAGCTCAGTTATTAGACTCTACATCAAATAATGGAGAACACAGCATCCAGGACATGTAGTTACAACAAAAAAAGTTGTATTGTATAGTGAATTTACCAAAAACCATGTTACGATCAAAAAAAGAAGAAGAAAGAAAACATCAGAAAGATTATTCTGCCTCAGGATCACGTCTTTGAGCTGGGCCCGGCCAGAGGACTTCATCTACGTCACAGGCAATGTCGTCCCTTGCCAGGCAATGGGCAAAAAACCCTCTGGTGTGGTGGATCCAGCCTTGACAAGACTGCACGTCTATGTCACTACAGGCCACTTCCATTGCCTGTAAGAGATTTTCACAGAGATTCTGACATATTTTCCACCGCCATGCAGAGAAAAACTCTTCTATTGGGTTGAGGAAAGAGCTGTATGGTGGAAGGACCACATTCTGTTCTTGGTCTTACTCTTCCTCGTCCTTTTTGTCCAACACCTCATATTCCTCTACCTCTCATATTGTT